TGTTGTTAAACTGGCTTGGGCTGATTTAGCAAAGCTAACTAGAGGATTGTCCTAACAAGGAAAGCACCCAACCTGCAACTCTCAGAACTACCTCAAAATTTTTATAAAAATTTCTTATAGTACCAGTAGCACATCTAAAAAATCTTAGCTTGCGGTTTTGAGTTTTAAAATTAATGTATTTAAATTTATTAATTTGGCATTGTGTTGCAAGCGCGTTTTTTGATGTTCGAGATAACATATACTTACAAATTTAAAACTGCAGGTTCATTTGAATCTTTTTTATCATTATATTAAAGGAAAATAAATAGTTAAAAGTCAAAAAATGGCAAAGATATAAGCTTGTAACACAATGCTAATTTGGCGGAAAATTCAAAACTTTTTATGATCTTTTATCCTATATAGGTCTCATTTGAAAAACCGAAAGCTATTTGGTGACATTCCTCAGTTAGCTCAGACTATCTAAGCTGCGTGGTGTTTGGTGCAATTTCCTAGTAATTTTCAGCTAAATAAGGTCGAGTTATATAGCGTAAGTTGTTATGCTATTATCTATATCATACCAAAATTTTTATTTGATTTTAATCAAAAATTTGGTTAAAGTATTTAACTTTCGTATTGTAAAAGTTAATATATCCAATCCACTTCTTACCAGCATCAATACGCAGTCTCCAAAGAAATTCGTCCTGGTTGATCCTGTACCGGATTTGATCATTGGTTTCGTAGTATACGTCGATCGGATTTACTTCATTTGGGTGAAGCTTTTCCACGTTTATTACTATAGTTCCAGCTCCTGAGTCGTCATCTACGTAGGCGTAGCCTGAACTGTCATTATTGACGTGAAAGTGTAAATAAAAGACTTGGTTATTGTTTGAAGAGTACAATATTAGACCAAATTGTTCGTCGTTGGAAATGTTGTAGCCAACAATGATTCTAGAACCTGTAATGTTAAAATCATTATGTTATATTAGGTTGAATCAAAAGTAGCGGGACACTTTTTAATTGAAAAATAAATGAAAAGTGTCTCGTTACTTTTGGTTCAGCCTAATAATAAAATCAAAAACAATGTTGTTCTCCTCTTCTTTCAGCCTAACATCAGGCCAGACACTAAAATTGGACGGAGGGAGAACCCCCCAGAAAAAAATTCTAATCTTCGAAAAAAATTGAACGTGATCTCCCTGTAGATTTTTGCAAAAAATCGATACAGGTAGCTCTCCCTGTGCCGATTTTTTCGACATCTCCCTCTCCCCCCACCCCCCCCAGACCAAATGTCCCCGCCCGGCCCTGGCATTAACAAGCAAGACAATAGTAAAAATCAACAATCAAGTACAAAAAATAAGGATCTAAGCAAGAAGTGAGGCCCAGTTGGGAAAAGCTACAACTGATTGCTGTGAAGGTCTTTACCAAACCCTCACCAACCCCACTCACGTCTTAAATTGTAAATCTTGCGATGAAAAAGAAGGTAAATTTTAAAAACTAGATAAAAATAAAAACATACCAGCAACGCAAAATGTTTAGGAAACATAATTGTAAAAACAACAGTCTCTTGTTAGCTTTTATAGCATGTTTGTTCATAATTTTTCATACCAAACGCATTAGAATTTACATTTCTTTTTAAAGGACCAGTTCGCCCATTCAAATACCATTGGCATTCTGTCGCAAAAAGCGTCGAAAATCAGGCAATTTCAATCAAAATCATTTTTCTCAAAAAATGTGAGTGGGTCGGTGTCGAAATGAATTTTCCAATTTGGGACCGACCTGCTCAGGTTTTTTGCGAAAAAAATGAACGTCGAATTTTTGCGACAGAATGCCAATGATATTTGAATAGGCGAACTGGTCCTTTAATATCTTAAATAATCTAAAACTTTAGTTGTTGTGAATTGAAAAAAATTTTTTTGTATTTTTTTCAAAATTTGCCGTTTCTATATAACTTTCATGCGCTTATAATTATAAACATCACTGCATTATAGCTCAGCACGAGGCACGGCATGGGAATTTGTAAATGTTTTTTGTTGTGTCTAAGCCTGACTGTAACTCGCTACCTAAAATCATTTAGCAGGTTTTAAAAATGATTTTCTAAGTAACCTTTTATGCTTTTTCATTCTATAATATATCTATATGGGTCTTGCTTTAAAGCCGCGTAATGTTTGATGTACTTTCCTAGTAAGTTTAAGGTAAAGTAAATTAAGTAATAATCTATAGCATGACTTATTTTTTATTTGATTTTAATTAAAAATGTGCTTAAAGTATTTAATTTTTGAATTTTGAACGTTGGTATACCCAATCCACTCTTTACTAGCATCAATACGCACATTCCAAATAAATTTTTGTCGATTCACTTTGTACTGTATTTGATACGAGGAATCGTAGTATACTTCGAGTATATTTACACCAGTTGGGTAGAGTTTTTTCAAGTCTATAACTATAAAATCACCTCCTGAGCCGTCAGTCACAAAAGCATAGCCTGTAGCATTATCCTGATTGCTGAAGTGAGCGTGAATATGAAAAACTTTATTTCTGTTTGCAGAGTACAATTTTATTCCAAATTCTTCGGCGTTGGAAATGTCGTAGCCAACAATGACTCTAGAATCTGTAATTTTAAAATAAAAATTTTGTAAAAAAATGAAAAATAATTGTTTTCCACCCCCTTCAGCCTAACTCAGAACCGACACTAATATAAAATCATATGTTTGTAATAACAACTTACTCCCCGCGGTTGCATTTATTGATAAAGAGCTAAATGAGTCTTTTTCGTTCTCACAACGCGCGAAAGGTAGGAAAACCTAAATTTTTTAAAATTTAAATTATTTTTATAATACAATCAAGCTTTCTGTGAAACAGTAGTAACTACCAAGACGAGGGGCGGGCGGGAACTTTTAGTCCGAGGGCGGTAAACAAAAAAATTTTTTCCGGAAATCCACAGGGGGGACCACGTTTAACTTTTTTTCGAAAGATTTTTTCTGGGTGGTCCTGACAAATCATCGCTAAATCCTCACCATTGCTCATGCCTTAAATTGTAAGTCTTGCGATGAAAAAGAAGATGAATTTTAAAAAAAACTACATAACAATAAAAACGTACCAGCAACGCAAGGAGTTTAAGAAACATAATTGTAAAAACTACTATTCTTTTGTTAGCTATTATAGCATTTTTGTTCATAATTTGTATACTACACAAAAGTTCCCAAATGCATTAAATTTTACATTTATTTTTTTTTCGAAAAAAAAATTATATTTGTTGTAAATCTTTGGTACTAAAAAGAATTCGTATAATTTTTTAATAGGTTTCCCAGCCTCATTTTGTTGAAGCTACTAAAATTATAATTAGAACTTGTTGAAAATCCTATTATGTAATAGATAGTTTCGTTTAAAAATGAAAACTATATTTTTATTATTTGTAAGTTTTTTATTTTTTTATGTTGCCGTTCCAAATAAAACACCATTTGTCATAATGTAGGTGAATCAATAGCTCATTACTGTAATAGTCATTTTTCTTTAAAAATTTTATAATTTTATATTATACCTTGTATGACTTTACGAGTGAACTTACAAAATAATGGTACATAAGTTTAGACTACCGTATTGAAATTTGTGCAGAGTGATACAACTGTTAATCTTAAAGAACCGGTGAACGTGGGTAAGTCAAGATCAAAAATTTGTATGCAACAGGTTAGTTGACAGCATAGGAGTGAGTAGAATAGGGTAGGGTAGAGTAGGGTAGGGTAGGGTAGGGTAGGGTAGGGTAGGGTAGGGTAGGGTAGGGTAGGGTAGGGTAGGGTAGGGTAGGGTAGGGTAGGGTAGGGTAGGGTAGGGTAGGGTAGGGTAGGGTAGGGTAGGGTAGGGTAGGGTAGGGTAGGGTAGGGTAGGGTAGGGTAGGGTAGGGTAGGGTAGGGTAGGGTAGGGTACAATTACATACGGTGCTAATGTACAAAACTACACGTGGAAGATGCCATTTGACAACGGTCTACCTTTTGTTGTCTATGCTGTATGGTTCTTACCTAGATCTAACATCGATTTTGTTTTACAAGAGTGGGGATGAAAACACTTCTACGCCTAGTATCTAAGTTCGCTTGCTTTGATTTTACAGTAATAATAAAACGGAGTTTGACGAGTTGAATTTATTAAGGATAATATACTTTTTATAGACAAGTTACCGATGATAGTTGAGTATACGACTCTGTTTGTCCTCCTATTAGTATCAACCGACTCTAATAATTTGTAGCTAAATAAATACGGTCGAGTAATAATCTACAGAATAACACATTTTTTATTTGATTTTAATCAAAAATTTGTTTGAAGAATTTAATTTTCGAATTGAAAGTGTTAGTATATCCAATCCACTCCACATTGGTAAAGGTAAGAAATGTCTCCTTCGTTCCCACAAAATGCGAAAGGCAGAAAAACCTAAATATTTTAAAATCATTTTTGTAATATAATGCAGACATACCTTGTAATATACTACAGACACACCTTACATTAAAACGATAAGAAAAATCAGAAAGAAACTGAAGATCAGGCTACATTATAGATCCTATAAGCCTAACAATTTAGCTTTTTTCTTTATGGTAAAATAAAACTAAAACGGTAAAAAAACATACCAGCAACGCAACAAGTTTAGGAAACATAATTGTAGAAAAAAAATTTTTGTGAGCTTTTATAGCATTTTTGTTCATAAATTACCATTGTACAAAAAAGTTCCCAGACGCATTAAGTTTTACATTTATTTTTAACATTTTAAAAAATCTAAAAACGTCATGAATTTAAAGATTTTGATTTTTTTACAAAATTTGATTTTTTTATCAGTGAGCCAAAGGTGGTTTACCTCAATGAAGGCCCTGCACTGATTTGATTTTGATAATGGCCCGATCGACGAAGACCCGGAATTTGTGTGTCGATTCTGACTAAAATGAGTATGAGGAATTCAAAAAAGTATTATTTTTAAGTTCTGGTTACCGCCTATGAAACTTTATTTTATAGTACGTTAATATTTTTAAAATTTATTCTCGTTTTCAACGCAAGTTGTATAGAACGATACGTGAGGGGTACAATGAGGGTTTGGTAAAGACCATCAGAGCAATCCATTTTAGGTGTTCCCAATTGGATATCATGGTGCACCAGCCAGGTGATCCTGTTTTTTGAGCTACCGAGTCGTGATGAGGTGCTCCTCGTTTACCATCACTTTCCAATATTTGTCTGTACTGTCCGTATCCCATGCGTGTCAGTGGATGTTTAGGCGTTCCAATTTTCTTCAAACCGCTACTTGTAACCTCATCGTCAAGCAGCAAGTTCTTGTCTCTAGTAACCTTTTGGTTGAAGTTCAGTAACATATTTTTCGCCTTGTGGAATTGACAGTTACTTATTTTCCAATCGGGAATCTATTCTAGCTGCTATAGAGGCCGTCTTACGATTCTTTACGCTATAATTCCATTTCCACTAAAGTTGTCCAGCATCGGTCTCAACCATTAATTATTTTAGCAATCGATCCGCATTACTTGAGCAGTTGTCTTTTTGTTAAAGTCGTCTTTTACGTCTTTTCATCATTATTTACGATGAGTCTGACATAGACTGTTACAGAAGCCGTTCTTACGTAGGTTTTTCCCGATCCTGCAGGTGCTTCAGTCATTTGTTATTAATTACGGCTATAATTACGTACAGTTGATCACAAGGTTGAGGGCAATATGCAAAAATATCGTCGCAAACCAAGTAATCAGCATCATGTATGCAACGCGTGTTGTGCACATCTCCAATAAATATCACCGCGTCTTCTACGTTTCGTTTTGATTTCCGTAGGAAGGAACCTAGCAAGACTAAATGAAAACAACATAGTAAAATTAAAAAATATTTTAAATTAAACTATTCATTTCAAAAATTTAAAAATTAAATAATTTAGAAGGTTTAGATATTACTTACCTGAAGGCATGACAAAAGCTTGTTCAATTACGTTTTTGAATACAGCTATAATTACGTAGCCTCCTGGCTTCTTACTCATAGTAAGGCTCCACGACGTTTAACTACGACCACTACCAAGTTTTTCATTTTGCGATAAAACAGGACGGTTGTAGTTCAATACGTCACGGTGTATTCCATGATCGGTGGTATTAAGACAATTGATTGTTACGCTGAATGATTTCTTCGTCACGTTAAAAATAGCGCCTAGAAATTTCTCGGCCCTTGAGTAATCACTAAACCCGACACGGGTTTTATCTGAGTTAACCCGTAAGGGTGGTATGCATCATTGTCAATGTATGACAAAATGTTACGTTCACTGGCACACGCATGTAATTTTTTATTCTTTTTTTCCAAAGCAAAAGTGGGTTTGATTTACGCCTGTCGTTGCGTAGCATACAACAGCTTCTACGTACCCTAGCTTCTTGTTTCCATGGTCGTGCCTAAAATTGCGCAGCTTGCTTTTTTTGGACGGGTTGTTGAGGTTGCTCAGCAATTTGTTGTTGAACGGGTCTGAATTGCTCAATGCAAAGACTGAGTCGTCTTTAATTACGGCCATAATTACGTAAAGTAAACTGTTTCTTAACAGTTCGTAGGTTGGACCATGATCAATACGAGCACTTTGGCTGCCCAAATCATTATCATACAGCAATTATACACCATGGTTGGAAGCTACAGTCTAATTTGACCATACAAACACTGTTCACTAGCTTTTAGGTTATCACCAGTTAATGTGCGGATGTATTCATCTTGGTCATCGATAAACTGTTGGTTCATTCTTCCGGTTCCGTAAGCTTTTACGCCTTTAGTTCTAGCGGAGCTGTTCCTATCATTACGGGTCTGTTTTACTTCTATTGTAGATTGTCTTGCATTTTGAACAGATATATGAAGATGGCGTTCCACTTTTTTGTGAAATTTGTAGACATGATAACTTTAGATTGTACGTCTGCACACGTATGCTTTATTTCCATTTTACGTGCTGATAGTGAATTGCATGATTAGTGAGTGCGTCCGGCTTACGTTATAAACATGAAGCTTATGTTTGTAACGTCAGATAAACAGTAATTATTTGCTTTCACTGCATCATTCCTGGGTTAATTGATTTTTTGAAAAGTCTGTAAACAAAACGTTTCAAAATTTTTTATACAACAATATAGCAAAGCAGTCTTTGTTATTTAGTACTAACACGTATTCATTCTTCTACCCCCCTTTATAACGTATTTTACAAACTTACTTGATTTCATTACGGCAATAAGAGCCTTTTGAGAATGTCGGCTGGCTGCACTACGGACTCTGGGATTTCTAAGTTTCCTTCTCTTCTGGTGGAATTAAGTTTATTGAAGAAAACACAAGTTAGTTTTTTCCATCTCAAGAACCCATCACCATTTTAGAAATTTCATAATTAATGCTGGTTAGTACTCCAATGAAGTCGCTGTGCTTCGAGGGGTGAGTTCCGGCGGAGTTCTGGTAGCAGGCAAGATGTCATTCATACTGAAGTTAATAGAATGAGAAACTTTAAAACAAAAAGGTTAACGTCCTAGTACATGATGTTAGTATACTGATTTAAGAAAAAAAAACAAATTAGATTACCTTATACGGAATAGGTAGCAGTACCAATCATCCTGTTCTTCCCGAATATTCTGGTGACTAAGGAGGTCAGTTACAAGCAAGCCAGATAGGGTGGAGAGTTCGTTTCGTGGGCCATAAACTACGCTAGTACATATACGCCGAAGCTGCTGGTTGAACTGTTCGACTTGGTGCGAATCACAGGAAACTACTAAGGATAGAAAACCTCGATAGAACATGTGGTTTACTGCTTAACAAGGTGTCGTCGTTTACGAAAAATGTTTCTAAACTGATTTCGCGTTCGTTCGCAGTATCAGTACTTCTCCAATGGTAATATTCGTACCGCAGACCCTCGAGGACCTCAACCATGCGTTTTACATTCTCATAATTAACCATAAAAGGCACTACGGCCTGTCGCGTCGGGTACGTTGTTTTGGCTATCTCCGTTGTTATACGAAACAACCTTCCAAGCTCCGAGAGCTCATTTGCAGTGTGTTCGGCCATGCTGAAAAACATAAGAAAACTGTGAATTACGGTAGGGATTTTTTCAGGCTTTACTTCCATTGTCATCTGGAGTTGTCCGGCATCAGCCACAGCCGTTAACTATTTTTAGCAATCGTCCGCATTTCTCGAGCAGTGGTATTTTATTGTAGTCGTCTTTTACGTTCTTTCTTCATTGTTTACGATGATTTTGACAAAGACTCTTACAGAAGCGGTTCTTACGGACGTTATCCCAGAACCTGCCGGGGCTTTGACCACTCGTCTTTAAATACGGTTAAAATTACGTGCTGCATAAGTGCAGTCATTTCTGTCATTGCCTGGGCTTCTTGTGGCATTTTAGTTTAAACGACTCCATTTCCACTGCCGGTCGCTTTGACCGTTCCATCAAATGAGGTTTTCCTTTTACACCTGCCAGTCCTCTGGTCACTCGTCTTTAAATACGGCCATAATTACGTACAAGTGTGTGGCGGGGGCTCTTCCTTCGTCTTGTAAATAAACCTCAAACTTGGGTTAATAAACCTGTATATTTATTACATACAATTAAACTCGAAAAATTATCAAAATAGCATACACTAAAGGTACGAATATCATGAATTGTCATAAAACCCAAAATCTCTAAATACCGTATAGTAAATCCCCCCTTAAATTCTAACCCAGCCTTCTCAGACCCATCTTAACTTAAATAATGAAAAGGATACGCAAATTAGACGGAACTTTCTCGCAACATCCGGTTGGCCATAACAATACGCCCTTTCTTAACAATGCGACTGTCGTCGCAAAAGCACAAGAACGCAGCAAGGTCCTTGTACGGATTGAACAGATATATGAAGATGGCTTCCACTTTTTTGTGAAATTTGTAGACATGTTTACTGTAGGTTTTACGTTTGCACACGTATGCCTTATTTCCATTTTACGTGTTGGTAATGCACAGCGTGATTTGTGCGTCCGGCTTATGTTATAAACTTGAAGCTTATGTTTTGTAATTATTTGCTGTTTGCTATCACTGTATCATTTCTGAGTTGATTAATCCTTCGAAGAGCCTGCAAACAAAACGTTTCTAAAATTTTATATTAAATCATAGCAAAGCAGTCTTTGTTATTTTGTACTAAAACGTATTAGACAGTATTTCTCTTCCCCCCCCTTTATAACATATTTTACAAACTTACTTGATTCCATTACGGCAATAAGAGCCTTCTGAGAATGTCGGCTGGCTGCACTACGGACTCTGGGATTTCTAAGTTTCCTTCTCTTCTGGTGTTACGCTTGGTTTTGGTTTCAGAGGAGATAATACATTTGATTAGACACTGTTCGAAAAGTGGTTTCCCCTCCATATTAGAATTCAAATCCGACAGTTCAATAACATAAAAATTTACTACGTTCACAAATACAATACATACAATTTAGATAAATAATGACAAATTAAACAAAAATTGGTCAAAATGATAACAGATATAACTACGTAATCACAATATGTTACGAGACTAACACAATCTACTGATAATGTAAATTAAAGTAAATACCCTCACAATAATGGCTGACTATGTCTAAGCCTAACTAAGGTCAATACTATCAGATCTATTCTTAAATATACTACTCAAATGATACAACAAACGTACTACAAACTAATACCTACTCTAATACTACTTCTAAGGGATACCGTAACAAACTACAAAATAATAGCTACTTTAATACAACTCCTAAAAGATACGGTACGAGCTACAAAATGACACTTACTCTAAAACTACTTCTAAATATCTATTCTAATGTTACTTCTAAAAGATACGGTACAAGCTGCAAAGTAATTGTCCTTGTCTCTTCCCTAAATTGAGCTTAAACGTTCAACAAACAATAAATAAAAATAACTAAAATAAACATCGCGAATAAATGAATGATACGTATGATACCTTTTTAAGCGTTAATTATAAGGACGCTATTGCGTAATAGCGTCATATACACGTATGTATAGCTATTTAAGACTTTATTTTCTTTTTAAACAGAGATTTCAAAAACAGTGAAAAATAGTTGGTGTTAAATCTTTATATGTTTAAATTGGATAAATTTTAAACGTAATTTTTTAATTTTTTGGAGATTTTCTGAAAAGCACGATTTTTTACTTTACTGAAGGGTTTATATTTACATAGTCTTTCTATATGAAAAGCTTAAAGTCAATCAGAGCAAGGCAGGTTGGGCACTTTGTTTGTCCGTAGTATTACATGTTACGTTTTTAAAATCAAACCCTTAGGCAGTACCCAGAGTTCCCAACTTTTAAATTTCCAGCATTTGCTTTAACTTTTTTTAAATTTTAGCTCCGGGCCGGCTCCGGAGTCGGCTCGGGAGCCCGTGAGAACTCTGGCAGTAACAAAAAGGTTTCCAACCTTACATTCTATCAAAACTTGCGTGTTTATTAAAAAATAACAAAATTTACTTAGTATACGTCTATTTAGAATAAACTCGAAATGAGTCATCTAAAAGTCTTGCCTCACAAAAGTGACATTAGGGCTCCTAACAGCCGAAAATGCGATAATATCTTGACCGTTATCAATCTTGATGTCGAATACAAACTCTTCTCCATTAATGTTGTATCGAATTTGGTCTTTGCTTTCATACGAAATTTGGAAAACGTTTTCCTGGTCAATGTACATTGTCTTGACTTCAATCTCAGAAGTATATTGATGGGTCTCATCTTTACAGTAGGCAATAACCGTTGTGTAAGGACTAACGCCTTCCCCATAGTAGCAGTGCATGTGGAATATGATCTCATCTTTGTAATTAATTAGATAATCAACTCCAAAACTTTTCTCTCCATGGGGATGGACACCTACTGTCAGATTTTGACCCACTTTCAAAGGTTCTTTTAAAGGGTATACTGTATCTAGAGCATCCCATGCACTTATAAATGAGATGAAAATCTAAAAAAAATAAAAAGTTAATTTGGCTACATTTCATTTGTAAGCCTATCTTATCTGGAACATCAAAAAAAGTGCTTGCGACACAATGCCAAATTTTCCAAATTGGCGGAAAATTTAAAATATTAATTTTAAAACTTAAAACCGCAAGCTAAGATTTTTTATATGTGCTACTGGTACTACAAACAATCTGTATTAAAATTTTGAGCTAATTCTGAGAGTTGCAGGTTGGGTACTCTCCTTGTCAATAGAAAACTTTATTATAACTTCCTCTTTCCTACAGTAACTAATAGCTACCAAAACTATCTAAAACCTACCAAACTCAACAGAATTTGAACAAACATGGCTTGAAATGTGGTAAAGAGTAAGACGTGAATGCTTTTTAAAGCTTTGAAATTCAAAATTTATTAATTTTTAGTATGTTCACAGCTACATTAAGTTGTCGTAATGGGTTTAACATAGATAAAAGCAGAGTTGAACTGTGTACAAGACTAAATGGCTTGATTCTAACGGAGAAAGTATCCTACCTTTTCGCTCAAAAGCAGCTCAAATCTTTTATACGAGTTCTTTGTACCACCAATAGTACCCATAAAATACTTTAACTTGCGCTTTTAAGTTTTAAATTTGAAGTTTTTGAGTTCCTTACAAATTTGGTAGATTTGGCATTGTGTTTCAAGCATTTTTTGACGTTTCAGACAAACTACGCTTAAAAATTTGAAAAAAAGTTTATTTAAGGGTTTTCTACTAGTATATTAAAGAAAAATGATTAGAAGTCGAGAACTGACAATGTTATAACCTTGAAACAAAATGCCACATCTTTTTTTAAAATTTTTTTTCTTGTGATTGACTTTGTTGTAGATCTTATATTTACATAATCTTCCGATACAAAAAAAAGCTTGAAGTCAATCAAAGCGGGGCAGGTTTGGCACTTTCCTTGTTAACAGTATCAAGACCGGGCGGAACTTTCGGTCTGAGGGCGGGAGTCGCAAAAATTTTTTTCAAAAATCCAAGACCACATTCGTTTTTTCGAATTTTTTTTTGAGGAGAGGAGTACCTCTCCCGTCCCTACACCCTTCGCGCCCGGTCCTGAATAGTATTACATGGTATGCCTTTACAACCAAACCCCTAGGCAGCTCACAAAAGTTATGTTTTCATACAAAAATACGAATACATTTTTAGCTTTATCGCACATTTTCTACGTTGCTAACATTGACTAGTTGTTTAGTGGCGTTTTTCTCGACAACGTATGTTGTATACCTTGCAACCATTACATACAATGTAAACGAAAAAACGGTGTTATTGTTTAAAAAGGTTTACTTTTTCAGTTAAGCAATTTAAAATTTAAGCAACTCTTGTACAACAAATATCTCAAGCAGTAGTTTCCAATTGTTCAATATACCAAAACTTTCTTGTTTATTAATATAAAGATAAGCATACATAATATCTTTATAAAAGAATAACGACAACCCAATCTCGATATGAGTAGTCTAAAAGTCTTGTCTCACAAAAGTGACATTAGGTTTCATAACAGCCGAAAATGCGATAATATCTTGACCGTTATCAATCTTGATGTCGAATACAAACTCTTCTCCATTAATGTTGTATCGAATTTGATCTTTGCTTTCATACGAAATTTGGAAAACGTTTTTCTGGTCAATGTACACTGTCTTGACTTTAATCCATTGATTATGCGGTTTTTTGTCTTTATAGGCAATGCACGTTGTGTAAGGACTAACGCCACTCTCATAGAAGCAGTGCATATGGAATATAACATCAATGTCGCTACACAGAAAATCGACTCCAAAGTCTTTCTTTCCATGAGGATGGACACCTATTGTCAGATTTTGACCCACTTTCAAAGGTTCTTTTAAAGGGTATATTGTATCGTGGTAATCCCATGCACTTGCGAATGGGATGAACGTCTTAAAGCAAAAAATTAATCTAGATACGTAGTAAGTCTAGATACGAAGCAAGTCTAGATATGTAGCAAAAAGCCAACGCAAGAAAGCCGTCAATACTAGAAAACTATTATCACTACTTTTTCCTACAGTAACTAATAGCTACAAAGAACAATCTAAAACCTACCAAAATCAACAGAATTTGAACAAACATGGCTTTAAATGTGATAAAATGTAAAACTAATGCTTTTTAAAGCTTTGAATTTCTAAATCAATAATTTTTAATACATTCACAACTACATAAAGTTTTTATAATGGGCTTAACATATACATAAACAAAGCAAACTGCAAACACGGCTCAATTGTTTTTATTAGAGAATTGCACACAATATCGTTCGGTTTTTAAAACGAGAAATATATAAGATGAAAGAGCACAAAAAGTTACCAAGAAAACAGTTTTTTCAATCTGCCAAGTAACCATGGCTAGCGAGTTACAGTACGGTCAATGTTATTATATTTTTAATAGATAGCTTTAAAGTTTGAAAAATAATATCTTTTGAAAAAATTTTTTTTTAAAAGAACTAAAAGCAAAACTTAACTCTAACAAATATTTTTTTACTCGAAGTATTGTTTGGCTGCCCAAAACATCTTGTCATATCGGCAAAACGCCAAGATGAAACCGACGGGATGAAAAGTGCCCCATTTCTTTCAATTCAACTTAATAGCTTGGTGTCTTCTGTACGCAAATCTAATTTTTTAACCATTTACCACACTAAATTGATTTATCATTCGTTTTGCTCATTACATATTATTTACTTAGCCCCAACCGCAATCAATATTACTATGAAATTAAGAATGGCCAATGTTTTTGATTTTGATTAGGTCAATGTGCCCTGCCTTCTAATCAACTTTTGAATTAATTTTTTTGCTTAATTTAAGTTTTGAATCGGTAACAACAAAATGACACAATTTACTAACTTACCAAAGTCTCCACATCATATTGTAGTATAAAGACTAGGATCATCTATTAGTCGATTTTATTGAAAGAAACGACGATCAGACCCGCCAGGCTCGACCTCTGGGCGAAACAGACTTGAATTTACATTCATTAGGAACAAAAAGGATTATTACTTTCTCGGGTACCACAATAAATCGTCGGAACAGAATGTAAAAATCAGGAATCAGTCAGACAAAGGTTAATATAATTCTGGAAAATTATTTTTATCAATTTTTATATTAGGTGCTGACATGAAGAACCCGCCATATTTTTTCTGTAATTTCCTGAAAAATGGCGGGTTCTTTATGTCGGCACCTAATAACAAGACTTTGTTATCAATATTTACAAATTTTTGACTTCTATCAGGCTGAACCAAAAGTAGCGAGACACTTTTCATTTACATATTTTTCAATTAAAAAGCGTCCCGCTACTTTTGATTCAACCTAATACTATCCTTTATTTAAAAATCCTGTACAACAAAAGTAACGTTAGGGCTCGTAACAGCCGAAAATGCGACAATACCTTGCCCATTATCAACTTTAACTTCCCACACAAACTCTTCACCATTGATACTGTACCGAATTTGGTCTTTGCTTTCGTAAGAAATAGCAAAAACATTCTCATCATCAGTGTAGACGGTCTTCACCTCAATGTAGGTGACGGTGTGACCGGTAGCTGGAGTGTAATCGGTGAGTGCAGTAACATAGGGACTTGTGCCATTACCATAACAATGTATGTGGAATATGAAGTCAGTTTCGCTGCATAGAAAGTCGACACCAAAGTGTTGTATACCATGAGGATGAACGCCGATTGTAAGGTTTCGGCCTACTTTTAAAGGTTCTTTTAGAGGGTATATTGTATCGCTGGCATCCCATGCACTTATAAATGAAATGAAAATCTACAAAACAAAAATTTAATCTAGATACGTAGCAAATCGAGATACGTACTAGATACGTAACAAAAAACAAACAAAAGAAAGTCGTCAATACTCAATAGAAAACTATTATCAATACTTTTGCCTACAGTAACTAATAGCTACAAAAAGCTATCTAAAACCTACCAAAGTCAACAAAATTTGAAGAAACATTGCTTTAAATGTGATGAAGAGTATACATAAATGCTTTTTAAAGCTTTGAGTTTTGAAATTAATTATGTTTTAATACGTTCACAACCACATTACATGTTGGAAGAATAAGTTAGAACACGATCGAAGCCAAGCTGGGAAGAAGGCCCACGTTGCTTTCGTTTAAACCTTAGCTTTAGCCCTTAGATTCAACTTGAGAATTAGCCCTATTTTAGCCATGTTACACTCCAGCTACTGGTCACTTAAGATTAGCTTTTGCTTTAGCTTTAATGTTAAGTTTAGGCTTAGGCTTATGCTTAACTCTTAGACATAGATCTTTTTTTATTATAAAGTTTAAGATTAGGGCTCTGGCCTAGGCTTCTGGGCTATGCCTAGGGCTTTGAGCTAAGGTTTTGGACTAGTGTTCTGGGCTCTGGGCTAAACCTCTGGGCTATAACTAGGGCTTGGACAAGTGCTCTGGGCTCTGGTTTAGGGTTTTGGACTAGGGCTCTGGGCTATGACTAGGGCTAGGACAAGGGCTCTGGGCTCTGGGCTAAGACTAGGGTTACGGGCTGTGGGCTAAGGCTTTGGGCTAGGATTATAGCTGGGGCCTTCAGTATTAACTTAGGTTTAAAAATGTGAACCGTGCTTAGTAAATATGCATCTACAGATAGTATCGTGTATACCAAACTCGACTGACCAAAAGATTCAACTCGGAAATTTATTAGCGTGTTTTATTATATTATACTATCAAACGTAAGGCTATAAACAATTTAAAAAGAATTACACTTTCGTTTATTAATGGTCGACAAAATGGTCAAAGAAAGAAGAAAAGAATAACTTTACATTGGCAGATTTAGATGACAAATGTACAGTTCTGTAGCTTGCTCCACCATAAAGTGTGTTAATGGTTTGCCTTTTTCGATCTGCATGTTCCAATAGCCTTCGGGTTCGTTGTTGATTTGATAACGGAAAGTTGTGTAATTCAAATACCATAATTTTACATTGAACCTTCCTTTCGGCTCATCGAAATAGGTATGGTTTTCTAGGGACGGATCAAAGCCCTTTTCTTGATGTCTTTTGTGATTCCATACAACTGTCTTGTTTTTTATGTACATTTTCATGTGCATCACATGATCAAGATCATCGTTATGCAAATTTAAGGCCCAAACTTCTGTAGAAGAATCAACTACGTATTCTCTGTATTCAACTGGAATCATCTATTATTAGACCTGTAGGAGGACCGGGTCAAGTGTTTCGTTCTTTTCTTGAAGATGACTCACCAACCTCACAAATGACCCACCAATCTCTTAAATGACACACCAAATTGTTTTTAGCTCCCGCTTTTAAGTTTTAAATTTGAATTATTTTGTTTCTCGTAAATTTGGCAAATTTGGCATTGTGTTTCAAGCACTTTTTTCGGCTTTTCAGACAAGCTACGCTTATAAACTGAAAAATGTAATTTCATTTAAAGGTATTCTACTAGTATATCAAAGAAAAATGATTAAAAATCAACAAATGACAAAGTTATAAGCTTAAAACACAATGCCAATTTGGCGGGAAATTCAAAAAGTAATTTTTTGATCTCGATTTTCTCGAGATTTCCTGAAAAGCGCGATTTAGTACTTTGCTGAAGATCTTATATTTACATAACCTTTTTTAGCCCTAGACCTAGCCAAAATTTATAAAAAAGTTTGAAGTCAATCAGAGCCGGACATGTCGGACACTTTCCTTGTAAGTGTATATTGAAATGCATATTAAGAGTGTGTCCTTTAAGAGCCTCGACACTTTTCGAAAGCCAATACTAATCATTTTTTTCTATTTTAAAAAAAATTTTTTTAATATTGATATTTAACTTACCAATAGCAAACGGTACAGTGAATCTAATCGGCTTGTTTATCCCCGAATAACATAGAAGCCATAATGAAAACTAAAAATTAAGATGTAATGTATAACCATTTATGAAAATTTATTTATTTTTGAATTTTTTAAACAAATAGTTTTAAACAAATTTTAAATATTTCACAAAATTCATTATAAAAAACCAATTTCTACCCAAAAGTTTCAGCAATATTAGCCAAAAATTTAAAAACTTACAAATATGAACACTTAAAGCCCAGAGCCCAAAGCCCAGAGCCCAGAACCTTAGCCCTAGCCAATCTTGAATTTGTCTTAGGCTACCATAAGTAAACTTCCGTCTTTCTTCTCTCCTCCCTCTCCGTCTTTCCTCAGCCGGTAAACAAGTTGATTAGACCCAGTACAAACGCCCCTGGCGCTGGCTTCACCACTTGTCGGTTTGTAAAGGATACCAGCGGGGTAGCCAGCCGGTTTTTGGTTGTTGGGAGGAGGAGGTCTTACAACTTAAAAAAAATTTTATTACTCAACGTCCGGTTACAACTGACTTAAAAGCCACAAAACTTCAAAATAAAAATTATGGCAAGTCGTTGATTACTGTAGAATATTCGACATAACTCTACATGTCCGGATCCTTTAGATGACAGACGTATAGTGGTTCAGCCTGTTCCACTCTAAACTTCGTTATTGGTTTTCCTTTTTCAATCCGCAAGTTCCAATAGCCTTCGGGTTCGTTGTTGATTTGATAACGAAAAGTTGTGGCATTCAAATACAGTAACTTCACATTGAAAGTGCCTGCGAGCTCGTCGAAATACGTATGGTTTTCCCAGTCATTATTGAAACATACATCAGTATGCCGTTTGTGGTTCCATATAATTGTTTTGTTTAATATGTACGGTCTCATATGCATTACATGATCTTCAACATCGTTGAACAAATTTAAAGACCAAGTATTGCCAGGGTCATTAACTACGAATTGTCTGTATGAACCTGCAATTTGCTCAGCATTAAGGTTGTAAAGGCCCTTAAATTCAATAAAATAATATTGTGTGAGATGTAGTGGAGAGGGCCGGGCGCGAGGGAGGAGGGACGGGTATCCCCTCCCCACAAAAAAAATTTCGGGAAAAATTTTAACTTGGTCTCCCCTGTGGAATTTTGGAAAAAAATTTTTACAAAAAAAATTGCTTTAGTAAAGAGGATAGGGTAGGGCAAGGTAGCGTAGGGTAGGGTAAGGCAGGGTACGTAAAGATATGGTAAAGTACTTTCGCCTCTAGACCAAAAGTCCCCGCCCGGCCCTGGTTATGGAGAATAGAAGCTCACAGAATACACTAGGCTTACAGCGAAAGTACCCAGCCTGCCCCACTCAAAATCAACTCAAAATTTTTATATGAACACTTTGTACCACCAATAGTACTTATAAAAAATTTTAGGTTGCGCTTTTAAATTTTATATTTTGTTTTTGAATTCCCGCCAACAATTTGGCATTGTGTTTCAAGCTTTTTTTGACTTTTCAGACAAGCTACGCTTACAAATTAAAAAATGTAGGTTTATTTACAAGTATTCTATTAGTATATCAAAGAAAAATGATTAAAGGTCAAAAAAGGACAAAGTTATAAACTTGAAACACCAATAATTTATTAGGCAGTGTAAAAAGTTTTGCTAATAACTACCAAGAGTCCTCCTATTAAAAAAAGACACTTACCAACACTAAACGGTACCGTAAATCTAATGGTATACTGTGAATAACATAGAAGCCATAATTATAACTAAAATTTTAGCTTAAAAATAAAGGTTTAGACTAAGGTTTAAAAAGATACACATTTATTTAAAGAACAAAGTCCACCCCCCCCCTTTAAAAATTTAGAAATACTAGCTGAAAAATTGAAAACTTACCAATAGGAACACTTTTATTATCAGCATTTTTGGTGAAATGATTTATATTCTTAAAATGCGATTTAAATAGTGTGAATAAACTGCATAAAACTACAGTTGGTTGGTTTCACATTAGTTATCCAATTTAATATTTAACACTGTTAATTATCCGTAAAAAATAAATGTCTTTGAAGTGTATCATCACATACAAAACAATGCGTTATGCATGATACCTTACTTTACATTCTTCAAGCGTCTACAATTACAATTCGAGAGATATAGATTAGATTAGTATTTTTTATGCAGTAGATTGTAACGTACTGTGCTGATGTGAAAGGATGTTCAAGGTTCAGATGAAGACCAACGGAGCTATCGTTGAGTCTGACGTTTACTATAATTGGGCCTCTCCCCAGGTATTTTACATTTCTGGCGTCACTACTTGTCTTGTTTTTAACTTCAGCCTTAGCTCTGAGCCTAAGCGTTAGTCTTAGCCTTAGTCTTAGCCTTAGTCTTAGTCTTAGTCTTAGCCTGAGCCTGAGCCACATTATGTTTTGCTATTCTAGTTGAATATCCTAAAAATTCTTCTTAATCTAACATATATAAGACTTACCACAGTCTCGCTTTTCGTATGTTTCGGCCTGCACAATGAAAGAAACATATTAGGGTTTATTCCGTACAATTTCAATTTAAAACTCAATTTTTAACGATCGGGAAGATGACAACTGTATAATGGCGTGGCATTGCCACCGACCTCCCATCGTGGCATCACGCTACCCGAATCAATTCCCAAAATATACTGTATCTCATCATTGCCATTAACTGAGAACCAAATTATGTCATCAGTACCGTAATTCATTTTCAAAGTGAAGTAGCCGGCCCATTCGTCGAAGGGTTTGATGATAACGTGATCTGGATCGAAATGTGTTTCGTATGATCTCTTGTAGTTTATACGTATCTGGTGAACATAGTAGTCGAATTCTACGTGAAATGGTATGTCACCATCCTCAGTGTACAACCGGAACCAAAAGCTCGTGTTTGTAACGGTAAACACGAATATTCGTTCGTTTTCTGAAATCTTAAGCCGTTTGATGAAAAGCCTAGCCCTGGCCCTATCCCTAGCCCCAGCTCTAGCCCTAGCGCAGAGCCCTAGCCCAGAGCCCTAGCCCAAGCCCATAGCCCTAGCCCAGAGCCCTAGCTAGCTCTAGCCAAGTTAACTCCGACCATATTCATAGTCCTAGCCCCAACCTTAGTGTTAAGCCATGCATTTCCTTGCCTTGCCTGCTTTGCCTTACCCTAGCCTTACTAACATATAACTTAGGCCTATTTTTCGGTCTAGTCAAGTACGTTTTATAAACAGAATTAGAACAATGCATATATTAGGTCGTTCACTTAATTCCGCGCCCTATAATTCTAGAATTTCATTAAAAAGAGGCGCTGAATGAAGTGAATGACCTAATAGAACTATGACTTAAAGAACGTACCTGTTCTATAAGGGACCGTAAAAGTGATTGGACCAAAACACCAACATGTGAGTATGGCCAGTGTCTAAATCAATACTTTTTAAATTTCAAAATTAATTTGCTTTAGTAAGAAGGATAGGGTAGAGTAGGGTAGGGTAGGTTACGGTAGGATACGGTAGGGTACGGTAGGATAAAGTAAGGTAAAGTGAGGTAGGGTAGAGTACGGTAGGATAAAGTAAGGTAAGGTAGAGTGAGGTAGGGTAAGGTAATATAGGGTAAGGTAATAGATAAACCATCTATTTTTAGCTTTATTCCTTTCCTCTTTACATTCTTATAAGCACTGTTTATACAAGCAAACATAACCTTTTGAAAAGTAAATTACCATAACAAAACATATCTTTACACCATCCATGACAAACCACAATATACACATATGAACATTTTTCAAACCACATTAACACTATACACCATTGTATAATGTGCGTGATTATGCACAATTTATAAAATTGTACAATAGAAAAAAGTGTTTTACTAAATAAATGTACACAAAAGACTTATATTAACCATAAAACAGTTTACATTGACAACTTTACAGTAGAACCAACAATAAAAAAAATATAAAGTGTAGGTATGTAGGTAGTCCATTACAGATAAAACTAAAATAAAAAAAAGATGACATTCTAAAGCAATCATTTTATTCTCATCGAAAGAAATGTCACAAAAGTCAGTCAAAGTAAGTGTCGTTAGGGCGAATCCTCGGAAGCATGGCACGGATCAAACGGGGGGATGGTGCGCTGGAGTCACTGTACTGAATGGTGTCCGGGACGTATTGATCAACACTAAAAAGATTCAAAGTTTAAGTCCTGCTACCCTACCCTGCCCTACCGTACCCTACCCTACTCTACTCTACCCTACCCCACCCCACCCTACCCTACCCTACCCTACCCTACCCTACCCTACCCTACCCTACCCTACCCTACCCTACCCTACCCTACCCTACCCTACCGTACCGTACCCTACCCTATCCCACCCTACCCTATACTCAACCCAAGTACAAAAAAGCTTACTGATATCGATCGTCGTAGACGTAGTAACCACATCGAGAAGTCCAGCATCGAGCGTACACAAACACGTGGTTGCGGTAATACAACGGGTTTTCGCGGCCCAACATAACTTTAATATCGTAGGGATCGTCGACGTTGCTCGCACAAGAGAAACCGTGGTCTTCCTGAAATTTTGAAAAATTTAAAATTTTTTATTTTTACCACACCCTTCTCCAAAAAAATTTTGTTTTATTAAAAATATTCATAAGTTATTGACAATTGTCACTGCCAACTTGCAAAAAAAGGGAACTTCAATCCCCCAAAAAAAATTTACCCCGCCCACTAAAAAAAAATTTTTAAAAACCAAATTTAAACACGCTCGTCTTGTAATTTTTAAAAAAATAACTTTTTTATTCCACCCCCCCCTCTCAAAAAAAATTTTTACCACGCCCACTAAAAATAAAGCAAATTTGAACACGCTCCCCTTCTGTCCCTTTTCAAAAAAATTAATTCCCCCCCCTCCACCGACCAAAAACACCCCTCCTTTCAAAAACGGGGGAAAGGCAACAGAAAAGCATAAAACCAAAAAAACCTACAAAGCAAACCTTGAGGTGAAACAAGAACTCTTTTAGTCTGTCCTTCTGTTCAGTTGGAACGATGCTTTCAGTCGGAACGATAGTAAGGGTGCCCTTATCCGGGGCCTCTTCGTTCACAAGGTCCATGACTTTCAAGGCGTGGGTGGCGTTTAACACGTAATAGTCCAAAACAAAAAACTCTTTGCCAGTGGCCTTCGGCAAACTGTCAACATGCAAGTATCTTTGCGGATCACGGTCTCCAGTGAATTGATTCATAGTGATGTTCTGAACTGGAGAACGCCAGAACACCCATTTCGAGAACTGGTAGTTCCCGTTGATAGTCCTTTCAACAATTGGATACAACAGCATTGCAAAATCGGCGTCGTTTCGCTGCATCGACGTGGATTCTTCCGCCCATCCCTCGGTGTCGATGGCTAAAATATTATCCTAAGTCAAGAAAAACCAAAAAATAAACCCTAAAGACCGCCTAGACTTTAACCCTTATTTAAAAATGGTAAACACTTACAAACTCTGAGATAATAGCCAGCCCGATCACCGTTGTCCGAAGTCACAATGAATACCTCCTTGAAGTCGTGGCTGTCAATCGTCGCGCACCATGGACACATCTGATCGCGAACTTGTTCGGCACTAACCAGAGTGTCATCCCGATTCTGTGCTGTAACGTGATTGCACAAACATGTAATCAGTAGAACAAATAACAAAAGCCGCATCCTGGATCGACCGGTCGGCAGATGAATACAACGCAAAATGAAACTGATTACAGGGATTTGGCCATTGAAAATGACTAAAACTTGAGTTGACAGACATAGTTTGGATACAAATAGAATGGAGAAGATGTTGAATAGCTTGTGTAAACGAATGGGTTCATAACAAGCTCAAAAACTTAAAAGAAAGCTAAAAATTCACAAAATTTTAGATTTGATGCCTATGATAATATAGAAAATGTGTGTTCTGAACTTAAATGTGAATGAAGTGAGTTCAAAATTTCGTAAAAGGTAAATAAAAGATTGTTCTATCTTTCTTTTTATATGTAATGCTATAATTCTGCCAAAAAATCAAGTTTTCTTTCAATTCAACATCGTGAACACCTAATCAAGTGTAATATACAGAAATTCTGTCGAAATCGACAGAACAACAACGCCAAACCTCTTCAAATCTTTAACACAGTATCGTCATTATTTACTCTACCTAAACTTAACAAAAAATAAAGACAAACTTACGGACAAAAATCTAAATCGACCGGTCAAATCAGTTGAATCTTGTTGATCTCTCAGCTTTTCGCTACAAATTCCATTTCTTCCACCGCCCAATATGGCAATATACAGTCAATTAGATTGATCAATGTGGATAAGTGAGTATGTTTCTTCTTTATGTTTTTCTGTTTTTAGGTAAACTAACTTGTCATGATATTATATTGAAGGTTTGAGAAGATTATGGGTTGATTTTCTATTTTTTTTGGCGTGGTTACGTTATATTACACTTGACTAGGTGTATATAAGGTAAAATTGAATGAAGCGTTGATCCTTTGACAGAAATAGAAGACCAGATATAAAAATAGAGTTATAACTATTATTTTTGTACATTTTGCGAAACTTTGAGCAGGATTTATACTCATTTCGCTTCAAAAACACGTTTTCTATATTATCATAGACATCAACTCTAAAATTTTGTGGGTTTTCTTTACGTTTTATTGATTTTGAGAGTTTTTATGAAACGATTAGGTAAATAGAGGTAAATAGAAGCTTCTCTGTACGGCGTTTACTTCAAAACACGTTTTCTATATTGTCATAGACATCAAATTTAAAGTTTTCTGGTTTTACCTTTATATGCGCCAAATATAAATTATTCTTGAATTTACTTTATTTGTTTAGTCAGTGCAGATAAATTATCATGATTTGAACAATTTTTTTACGAAATATCTCCAAATTCAGCATTATGCAAAGCAAGATTTGTAATTTTCTTACTACGATCGAAGATAGTCAAAGCATATGTCTTTTTATCACCATCGTTGACTGTAAAACTGATAGTTGATTCGTCGTTAAACTCTACGACAATCTTATTTACGTCATTCTTCTTCAACGTCTTTAACATTTCGTATTGTTCGTTCTTGCACAGTAGCCATGTGGGGTCTTGGTATCTTCGGCACATTACCGCGACGACGGGCGGGTCTTCGAAATAGAATTTCAAGTAAATGGGCACGTCTTTGTTTTCATTGTGAAAGGTGAGACCAAAGGAGCTTTCTGTCGCTTTTACATTGATTGTTACTGAGTCTCCTGGAGTTTGGGTGTTGTTATTATTGTATATTATGAATGGAATATAGGGAGCTATGCCTCCTCTTACAAAAACTTTAAAAATTTTTTTGGGGATTTATTCACTATAACTTACCGACTCCCAATGGCTTGTCCAACTTATGCACGACGGCATCCAAACCAGTAAAAGTGGCCTGAAAGAAAAAGTACAGTAGATAGGGCAGGATAAGGCAAAAGTATAGTAGCTACGGTAGGGTTGGGCTGAAGTATAGTAGATACGGCAGGGTAGGAAGAAAGTCTGGTAGATAGGTCAAAACAGAAGTATAATAGGTAGGATAATGGTAGATAGGGTAGGGTAGGGCCAGGGACGTCGATTGGGTAGGGGGGGGTTGGTTCGGGATAACTCCCTCCCCCCCTCCCCAGAACCGATGGTAGTTAGGGCAAGGAAATATCATGTTAGATATGTTAAAGTAGAAATTGTGTGGTTCCGGTAGGGCATAAGTAAGTTAGACATGGTAGAGCAAAGGTACGGTAAGTAGGGTGGGTTAAAACTCACATTAGGCTAAGTAGGGTGGGATAAAACTATGGCGTTTAATGAAGCATAGACATACACTATACGTCCTTAACCGCCATGGTTTACTGTGTAGTAGATAAGGTTGGTAGACAAAAAACGAAATTAGGGACAGGCTACGTTAGGCTAAATATAGGGTAGTGTAAAAATGTGATAGTTAGACAGTGTAAGACAATTTAAAATGGTGAAAACTTACCAAAGCCAAAAATAAACTAAAGAACATTGCTTCAAACGCGCCTAAAACCGTACCTCTAGGGCTTTAAAAGCACTTTTATGTTACCGTATATTTGACTTAGCGTACATTACAGAATTTTTCTCATAATTATATTGGAATTTGGCTTTTTAAGTATTAAATCTTGAATTTTCTCAATTTAAAAAAAAATTTTTTTTTAATTTTAAAAAATTTCCCATTTTCGTCTTCTTTCGATGTTAATATTTGGGAAAACTTGAGTAAAAATTTATAAAACAGAAAATTAAAATATTTGAAATGTGAAAAAGTGAGTTAATAAGGGCCCAAATGATGATGTTTAGGGCAGTTAACTATACAATATTGATGTATAGCTTGCTTTTTGGTTGATACAGGTCTTGCGGTTGATAATGTACTCGTATGTGTTGCTGAGTCTTGTATGTGCTTACTTTTTTTACAAAAGTTCTACCGTATTATCATTGTTAAATAAAGAATAATATTAATAATTTTGATAATAGGGTTGGGTAAATAAAAATTATAGGGTAGGGTAGATATTGTAAAACATCTATATAACATGTTGACCAAATATTTTAGTTTTTGTTGGCCAATTTGCAAGGCAGTGATTGTGACAAAAAGGAATTGAAACCACCATTTAACGTTGGTAAGTTGGGGTAGAGTAAAGTAGAGAAGAGTAAAGTATAGTAGGGCAGGGTAAAGTAGGGTAGGGTAGGGTAAGGTCGGGCAAGGTAGCGTAGATCTGGGTAGATGATGGTACGGTACTGTATGGTGGGATAACGTATTGTAGGGTAGAGTAGAGTAGCGCATTGTAGAGTAAGGTATGGTAGGGTAGGGTATAGTAAAGTAGGTAGAGTAAGGCGTATTAGGATAACCTGCTGCTGATTTGAATATTTTTTAAAAAGTATTTTCAAAACTAACAACAGTACATTCTAATATTTTTTAGCCAACACTCTAGCTCTAGGCCTCCAAACCAATACCAAAAACTTTTCGGTTACCTTCTACACTGAATTGGGCGAAAGACCTTTGCGAATGCAGTTCTCCTTCACCGACCCCATTCGTCTACTTGGACCGTTTTGACAACGGTACTGGCGAATGGCGACAAGGCTTTTCACATGACGTTCAAATAACTCAAAATGCATCAAATGTGGTCAAATTCAACTACGACTCGACCGATTATATGTATATCTCTGTCAATAAGGCCCGTTACTTCATCTGGGGCGAGAGTGACGAAGGACAATTTACTGGGTTTGAGTATTCAGACGCCGAACTCAAGTTCGCCATTGTTGATTATCAGTATGCCGCTCAGAATGAAGTGTAATGGCATTGTGTTTGGGACACAATAAAGAAAATGTCATTTATGTTTGACAGGGCTTCAGTCATGTTTTTAAAAGTAATTGTGTATCTTTGTGTATGCTAATGGTAAATAAATATATTTCTTTAGTTTTTAATGGTAAGATCGGTGACGGACAGACTATGTTTTTTGGTTCAGCAAAGGATAGGTTGGAGACTATAAATCTAACGCAAGATAATATATTGACCAAGTAGTCAGTTGAAGAATAGGATAGCGGTAAGGGAGTATGGCCTGAGTAAAGCTATAGTAGGATCTTAAGGAGGGGTGGTAGGGGTTGAAGAATAGGTAGGGAGCGTGTGTAGAGGTAAGGGCATAACGGAAAAATCTAAAAAAAATTAAAATGATGTTTTTGCAAATTGTTTTAAAATAGCCTTCAATATTTGCTAAACTGGGCTAACAAATTGTAAATTTTGATGTGATAATAGGCGATTAATGTGTGAAATTGCTAAAAATTAATGCACAATGATAAAAAATTGAAATATGTTTTAAATTTTTGAAATTTACGGTTTTACAATTGTTTAACAAAGATGAATTTTGTCTGTTTCGTGGCCTCTGTAAGTGCTTATGTAAATCGTATTAAAAACACGTTACAGTGGAACTGTATAACAAATCGCTCGGGGAGAAAACTCTTTTATAACGAACAATTTGAAATTTGTTTGTTATAAAGCAGTTTTATTATACGGGAGTTCTAAATGCTCGGTGTAGTGTTAGCCGGGAACTTAAAAGTTGTTCGCTATAAAGGAGTTTTGTTATACAGAGTTCTACTGTATTTACTATGTTTTCTTTGTTCATTTTTAGGTTTTTGCGATTAGTTACTGTCATGCATTTGAGTCTGTGTTTTATCCCGGTTTTCAAATTGGTAGGTCATTTTTAATTTTTTTAGCTTCAGAGCTCTTACTCTACTTTGTTCTTTCTTACTTTACATTACACTACCCTGCCGCATACTACTATGCCTTGTCCTATCCTACCCTACCTTACTCTGCCCTACCCTACACTACCCTACCCTACCTTACTCTGCCCTACCCTACACTACCCTACCCTACCCTACCCTACCCTACCCTATCCTACCTTACCCTACCCTACTCTGCCCTACTCTACCTCAAACTCATTCTATCTCATAAAACTAATTTTAGGCCAGTTGATGACATTAGGCTTAAGAAGTTATTCAGCCAAAGAATATTCTCTGAACCTACTAAACGACAACGGTGACATTCCTTTCCACATCCAATTTCAATTTACCGATCCACCTATGGCAATTCTGAATAGTCGTACAAAAGATGGCGATTTTGATGTTACCAAAAGCATCAATCAGACTCTGCCAAAGCTGAATTCAAATGATGTAAATGACATTAAGGTTCGATATACTGACAAAAATACATTGTGGTGTAATGTAAATGACTTCTTCTTTAACTTTACATTGTCTATGCACCAAGGAGAGACCTTTACTTCACTTTATGCTGATGACACTGTTATGTTGCAATACTTTTCTTTGGAAAATTAATATGTTGATAAGTGATATAAGTGATATAGAGATTGAATTCAGTGAATAAAAGATGACAAAGCTTTTGGTATCTGGGTTGAAAATTAATAAGGGCTTAAATAAAGCATAGGTTAGAATAGAGTAGGTATTTATTTTGAAAAATTTGGGGTAGAGTAAGGCAAAAGAAGAGTGGCGTTAAGTAGAGTAGGGTAGTCTTCTTACCAATCCTGTATATAAAAAGACGATGGTCTTGTTAGGATGTGATATGGTGTCATAGATACACGCTATTATCCATAACGGTCGTTAACCCTAACTACCCTACCTAACTATATCTTACCTTAACTTACTTTATCTTACCAAACATAATTCTAAGATACTCTAACCAACCATAATCTACCCTATTCTACCCTACTGTACCTTGCTCTACTCCACCATACTTTTGTATGACTTACCTACTATAATCTGCTTTATCTTTATAGACTCTACCCTATCCTATTTCAAAATTTTTAAACTTAAAGCCTAATAGCAATTTTTTGATTTTCTACTGCCATGACGTTGCATAACAGCCTTTAAAATGAAAAATCACACCAATAAAAAGCTATAATTATACAGTTTTCTAAAATAATAAAAAAGATTTATTTTTTCTATATTTTTAAAGTTATCAATATTTATGTATTATCAAATTATGTGAACAACATGAGAAAAACATTTGAAATTGATTATTTATCAAATTATAAAATTTTACTTTTGTTAATATGTTAGGGATAAATATTACCATCTTTGCAATTTGTTTTATCTTTTTAATGCCATTATGTGTAAAAAATGAAATTAAAGTTTTAAAACGGCCTTTAGCTGTTGGTAAGTCATATAAAAATTGTACAAAGTTTTCTTTATTTACCTCTACCTAACCCAACCCTCCTTACCTTGTCCTGCCTTATCTTCACCCTTCTTCTTTTTTGCGCTTTACCTAAACTGTCATTACTGCTTACAAGGGAATGTTACAAACTACTCCACGCCAATTACAAAACGAGTTATACCGTTAGAAAGAGCGTTAAAAATTAGTCTAGAATCAACTTTTTTAGCTGCCGAAAACATGTGGCACGGCAGCTACACCTCGTTATATATACTTATATGTTTAAAAGGTATACCTTTAAAGTTCAAAAAATATTATTTTTTGATAAATATTTTTTTCTAAAAGTGACTAAAAGCAAAAAATAGGACTTAAAAAATATTTGTTTAACCAAAATATTGTTTGGCTGGCCAAAACTTCTTGTCATGATGGCTGGGCGCCAAAATGAAATCGACGGGATTCGAACTCCCCGCCTTTTGCACTCCAGACTAACTTGTTAACCACTCGACCACACTGGATCGAAGCTTCAACCCATTCGTTTTGCTCAAGACGAATGAGAAGAGACAAATAGAAAACCCTATGTAAATCCTTTGATCGCTATTATATGCCGTGCCATATAGTTTCGGCAACTAAAAAAAGCTGATTCTAGACTAATTTTTAACGCTCTTTCCAACGGTATAACTCGTTTTATAATTGGCGTGGAGTAGTTTGTAACATTCCCTTGTTAGACAAAACTCATTTTTGCCTATTCCAGGTCATAACATTTCGTTTGGCTTGAAGGTAAGCGATGGCGGTTTCGGGATCCGACTTCTGACCAACGACTACTCAATCGATACGGTTTTGCAACTTTATTTTACCTATGGCACTGGTTGCGAATGTACGGCCTCATACGACAGAGGAAATAACATTGTTGCATCTGAATTTGGTATAAATTGTACTATCCAGAGCAATGATTTAAACCGAGTCTCGATTTATTACACAGATCGCAATACTATAAATTATGTGACTGGAACCAATAAAAATCATTGGAATATGCACATCAACAATGGTTACGACGTATTTGCTTATGAAGTTTTGCACAACGCCGAAATTCTTTACATTTTGCAGTATTAAAATATAATTTTTAAAAATTTTCTATTCAAAAACACCGCCTTTTAACCTTATTTTATCCCTTTACTTTTGTCAAGCCCACAATTTCATCCAAAAGGAAAGGCAAAGAAAACGAAAAAGATCTCTATGTGTACGCCCATAGCTCGTTGAACGCACGCCATCCCGTCCGATCTGGCAAGTTAAGCAACGGTGCGCTTGATTAGTACTTGGATCGGAGACGTCCTTGGAATCTCAAGTGGCGTACGCTTCTTTTGGCATTTTATGGTACTTTGGCGCTAGGACAAATGCGGTTTTTGGACACTTGCGGATTTTTTAAAGGTTTTTTTTAATTTTTTAGTTAATTTAGTTGTATTATGGTACTAAATGGTACTAAAGTGTAAATTGGTACTGTTTTAATATGTTTTAGTGCTAAATAGTACTAAATTTTAAATTGGTACTGTTTTATATTTTTTGGTACTGAATGGTACTAAAAGCCCAAAAGGGTACTGTTATGTTAAAACCGCACCAATTTAAACTTTAGTACAATTTAGTACCATACTACAACTAAATTAACTAAAAAATAAACAAAAACCTTTAAAAAATCCGCAAGTGTTCAAAAACCGCAGATCCGCAAATGTCCAAAAACCGCGTTTGTCCTAGCGGCGGTACTTTTTGGTATTATTTTTGGTTTAGGTCTTGAAAAACGTTGTTTTATCTTGTTTTAAGGGTAGAAAAAAGTCGTTTTGTTTTGTTGGAGGGGTGTTTTTAGAGTTTTTTTAGTTGTTTTTTGACGTTTTTTGTCATTTCTCCACTATATTTGGCAAAAAATAAAGAAAAAACAAGGTAAGATGAATAATAGTTTATTCAACAAAATCGCAACAATAAATAACATTGACAAAGAATTCACAATTAAAACCAGTCGAGCATAGCAAGGATTTCACGACCAACTCTGAACTTTTTTAGATACTTCGCCACCGCTAGCCATAGATCGACTGTGCCTCTTGCTGAAAGGTAATAACTTACATAACTTTTTACAAAAAAATTACGTAAAATTTAAACAAACACTCATTTTTTCAAAAAAAATTTTTAAAAAATTTTAAAATTTTAAAAAACTTACGATTGTGGTAAATATACTCGCCAAAGTCTTGTACAGCTTGACAAAAATCATTACCAACTGTTCTACACGTCGTGCGACTCAAACATCCGCAAAATTCGGCATCACAATACTGTTGGCCAAGAAGTTTGTCGTAACAGCGGTCGTGGTCAAAGCAACATTCGTTGATGTAACCTATAACAAGATTCATTTGTTAATTTACCCTATGACAACTTTGATAAACATAAATTATAATGTTAACGTTCATATACGCGACTATATTGACGTTTTAGTGTTTTCAAAAAGTCTTGTCGTCAATTTACATTGGCTTGAATAGTAAAAAACGACAAGACTTTTTTATGCTTTGAAATGCAAATTTCTACAGAAAGGGCTTACAGTAACTTCAAAACATGTATTTTTAAGAAATTTGAAGCAAGAAAAATGATATTTTACGCTTTAAAAAGATTTGTCGTCAATTTACATCAGCTTATGTGGTAAAAAACGACAAGAGTTTGTTGCGCTTCAAAACGTAAAATTCTACAGAAAAAACTTACTGTAACTTTCAAAACATGTACTTTTAACAATCTTGAAGCAATAAAAATGCTATTTTTTATCAAATTACAATACAACAAGTTACCCATGCAATCTCCACCGAACATCTTGGCGTAGATCTGTGCAGCCTTTCGAACATACGCACTGTAACGACCATAACTCGGTCCACAATACCACTTTTTATCGAACACATGATCTTCTTCTCTTTCATAATTATACGGTGGAGCTTGAAGCAACTTGTCTAACCTGGAATCCACGGTCGCAATCAACAAACACGCTATCAAAGAGAAGCGACCAAACATTTTAACAGTTGATGTCGAGAATGACAAGATTTTTTGAATTTTTTTAAAAAATATTGTTTTTGGGTTGTCATAGCATAAATTTGATTATGCAAACTGAAATTTCTTATTCAAAGCTTCTAATTTCAACTTTGTTTTATAGGTATACAGGGCCGAGCGAACACTTTTGGGGTAGCAGCGGCGGTCAAAAAAAAGCAAATTTTTTTTTTCAAAATCCACAGGGCGGACCACGTTCAACTTTTTTCAATTTTTTTTTCTAAGGAAGAGAAGGGGGGGGCACACAGCTTTATAGGTATAGATCAGATCGTGACGATTTCGATGACATCTTCATTTTGAAAATGTCCCCTCACTTTAGTTTAAAAAATTCAACGTCTCCCAAAGGCCCCCCCCCCTTTTTAATGGGCATGGTAATGTCTTACCCCACGCATAATACCCTCTAATGAGCATGTTAGAGCATGTTAATTTCTTACCCCGCCCAAAACACCCCCCCCTAATAAGCATGGTAATGTCTTATCCCACCCAAAACAACAACTACCACGCCCATTAAGGGGGTAGTTTGGGAGGGGGAAACAATTACTACGCTCATTCGGGGGGGGGGAGGGGGGGTGTTTTGGGCGGGGTAAGACATTACCATGCTCTTTAGGGGGTGTCTTGAGAAGGAAAAGCAATTACCACGCCCATTCGGGAGTTGTTTTCAAAAAAAATCCAAGTCTTCAGAAGCCATGTATCAACAATTTAAAAAATATTAACCATGACGTTCAGCTATCATAGATAATATCCGTTGCTTCTCCGCCAAATTCATTAAATTCTAATCCACTTGGTATACACAATACTCTTCAAACCTAACTTAAACCGTGACTCATTGTTATTTTTTAAATAATTAGGTAGATCACAATGAAAATGGCAATAGAAGGCGATAGGTAGTTGGAAGAACAGAAGACGCTTAGGTCAAATTGTAAGTTATAATCGTAGACGAGAGTCGTAGTTTGTGATTTTGGGATTGGTCTGGGCGTCGCTGACGTGTTGTTACCTAAAATTATAAAAAACATTTAAAAATAGCAATTTTATAAGCCTAAAATAATTTTTTAAATAATTAACAGCTTTTAAGCCTAAATGCAATTTTTTCTGAAACTAATAATACTTTACGCCTAAAATAACATTTTTTTGAAAAGTCACTTAATTCTAAGCTTAAAACCCAATTTTCTTCAAAATCCACCCCTTATTAAGCCTAAAACTCCATTTTTCTGAAACTAATCCTAATTTTAAGCCTATAACAACATAATTTTTATCCAAAACCCTACCCAATTGATTATAAAGCTCAGCCCCATGATTTCTGGCCATATTACAATAAGTACCCTTCTCTTGTTCACATCCATTGCCATCTATAGTACTCAAACAGTCACAGAACGCTGCATCACAACGTTCTTGGCTCAATTGTGCTGCATAACATCCAATGTGAGATACACAGCATTGGTTGAAGGATTCTGAAGTTTTGAATTTAAAAATTTTTAGAAAAAATAAAAAAAAAGTAATAAAATTTTTTATAAAATTTAAAAAAATATTAAAAATTTCAAAAAAATATTCAAAAATTTCAAAAAATTTTAAAAAATTTTAAAAAAATTCTAAAAATTTCAAGAAATTTCAGAATTTATAAAAAATGTTAGAAAATTCTAAAATCAAAAAAAAATTTAAAAAAATTTAAAACAAAGTTCAAAAAGTAAAAAAAAACAATTTTAAAAAATATCAACAAATTTCGAAAAAAATCAAAAAATATTCAAAAAATAAAAAAAGTATATATAAATTTAAAAAATTTTAAAAAATTCAAAAAAAATTCAAATTAAAAAAATAAAAACAAATCCAAAAAAATTCAAAAAATATTCAAAAAAGTCTTACGTTTGTCCTCCGGGCAAAGGAACTTCACAATTTTAAATAAATTGTCTGAACCTGTCCCCAGGTATCCACAAGACCACTCATCTCTATTGTCCTTGATTACTGTAATTACTGAAGTCGTATCATTTCTGGAAGAAGACGTTACTGTATCATTTACAGTAGTTATTGATGTTACAGTAGTTGTTGATAAAACTTCGGGCTCTATAGAAGTAGGCTCAGCTGTGTACCAACCTGGCAGTGGGGGCATGGGAATGACGGAGGTTCCATTATCTAAAAATTTAAAATATTACCCTACCCTGCTCTACCCTACCCTGCCCTGCTCTACCCTACCCTACCCTACCCTACCCTACCCTACCCTACCCTACCCTACCCTACCCTACCCTACCCTACCCTACCCTACCCTACTCTACCCTACCCTAACCTACAGTACCCGTATCTTCGATAGCAAACAACGTTTGTACCGTAACCCTTTCTACCCTTAATGTGCCCTGTCTTACCATACCTGATCCTACGCTACCCCAAGAAGACTTACCAGACTTATGATAAGCACTGCCGCCCCATCCTTTCAATACCTCACAGAAAGTGTTTCTCTCAACAGCACACTTATCACCTAAAATGACATTCAAGCAATGACAAAAGACTTTGTCACAGTATTCTTGACCCCACTGATTCGTGTAGCAATTATCATGAGCGTAGCAACACAAGTTGAATTCATCTGAAAAAAAAATGTACAGCAAGGCACATAGGCTATGGTGGAAGTACAGTAGAACTAAGACAAAGCTAAAATACGGTAAGTGAGAAAAGGGTCAGATAGAGCACGGTTTATATATATGGTCAGAGGTAACATGGCCAAGGCTAAGGATAAGGGTAGAGCTGGAGCTAGGGCTAGAACTAGGTTTAAGGTTAGGGCTCTGGGCTAGGGCTCTGGGCTAGGGCTATAACTTACTTTGAATGTCAAAACAATTTAGAAGAACGTTCATGATTGACATTTGCTTGCTAGTACCATCCGATCCACAGTACCATTTGTCTTTATTGTACGGTTTGATAGCCGTATTTTTCTTTGGAACTTCATTAGGTGGAGCTTCTGTTACAGTAAACGCTATTTGCTTAGTTATGGGTTTGGATTCATACCAATCAGGTAGCGGTGGTCTTGGTTTGGGTGAGATGCCATTACCTACAAGGGCTTGGTGAAAAAAATTTCAAAAATTCAAATAATTTTAAATTAAAATGATTTTTAGTCCAAATTTACCTGATCTCAGATAAGGAATTCTACCAAATGTCTTCACAGCCCAACAGTAGGTACCTCTTTTGCTAGTGCATTCATTGCCTGGAATGACATTTAGACAGTGACAAAAGATCTTGTCACAGTATTCTCGACCCCACTGGTTCGTATAGCAATTGTCATGAGCGTAGCAACATAAGTTGAAGTCATCTGAAATCAAAAATAAGGTTAATACTGTACTGTTGGTTACCGTACCCCAATTTTTGCTTAATATATCGAAACGTACCGTTCCATGCCGAACCGTGCCGTACTGTACTGCACCGTACTGTACCATACCCTACCCTACCCTACCCTACCCTACCCTACCCTACCCTACGCCACCCCACCCTACCCTACCCTACCTTACCCTATCCTACTCAACTCTACCTCAGTATACCTTACCCTACTGCAGCATCTGTTTTGCACTACAATATATTTACTACTGTAAACTATATTACATTACAGTAACCTGCTTTTACCTCTATAACTATCCTTGTCATGTATTGTCCTACCATACCCTACCTTAATCTAACTTTTTCTGTCTTTCTCACTCCTATTCTACGGTACCATACCCTGCTTTACTGCACTCGCCCTTCCTTTCTCACACCCTTTCCCTTACCATAAGATAACTAAATAGGAAAGTACTCTCTTTACAAATCACTGCAGCCAAAGTATAATACTATGATATTACCGTAAGTTATAGTAACTAAAGCCCCCGATGACCTGGTATTAACTTACTGTACACACTTGAGCATTCATCACAAAGATGTTTATTAGCTTTTGTGGAAATCGCACCACCAGTGCCACAGTAACCAACGTTTTTGTCATAACCACTCAGATCTGCCTTTGCTACTCCTTTTGGATGAGCGATGTGATCAAAGATCCCTTCTGATCCTTCACCATAGTCTCTAACGTTTAATGCCAATTTCTCCTTTCTCTTTTCATCCTTATCAATACTTGACTTTACATTATCATCTTGATGTAATCGGCGCAGTAACTTTTTGAATGGCTTGTTAATGTCATATTGGTCATTTTGAGCCAAAATGTGATCGTTTCGGCCGTTTGTACCTAAAAACAACGTCAATTTAAGAAAAATAGCAAGAACTTTCTTTACAAAACACAAAATGGCAAAAACTTTCTTTACAAGACAAAAAACAGCAAGAACTTTCTTTACAAAACAAAAAATGTCAAGAACTTTCTTTACAAAACACAAAATGGCAAAAACTTTCTTTACAAGTCAAACTCACCATCCACAAGATACTTTGGTTGATCAACAAAACTCATGTCAATATCGTCGTCATTATACGATATGTCATCATAATCCTCATACAATTCATCGGCTTCGTCCGATTGACTACCAACATGATCTAAAATCTTGCAGTGAACGTTGTGGAGATAATATTGAGAATGACAAGATCGAAACAGAATGATAGCCAAAATCCACCAGTACGCCATTTTAGAATAGAACCAAACTGGTTTTTAAAACAAAATTGAAAAACAGTTTTGAAATTTGCATTTTGTAAATAATATTAAATTTTTAATTTCGAAATTCGAATTAAAATTTTAAAATAAATTTTAAAAAAAATTTTTTCATATTTAAAATGTCTAAGCTTATTAATCTTAGACATTTTAAAGCTTAAACCTAGTAATTTTAAGATTTTTAAGCTTAAGCCTACAAAACCAAAATTCATTAAGCCTGAGCATACTAATCCTAACTAAAATAAGCTTAAACCTACTAAGCCTAAGCCTAAGCCTACTAAGCCTAAGCCTACTAAGCCTAAGCCTACTAAGCCTAAGCCTACTAAGCCTAAGCCTACTAAGCCTAAGCCTACTAAGCCTAAGCCTACTAAGCCTAATCCTACTAAGCCTGCCTACTAAGCCTAAGCCTACTAAGCCTATGCCTACTAAGCCTAAGCCTACTAAGCCTAATCCTACTAAGCCTAAGCCTACTAAGCCTAAGCCTACTAAGCCTAAGCCTACTAAGCCTAAGCCTACCAAGCCTAATCCTACTAAGCCTGCCTACTAAGCCTAAGCCTACTAAGCCTATGCCTACTAAGCCTAAGCCTACTAAGCCTAATCCTACTAAGCCTAAGCCTAAGCCTACTAAGCCTAAGCCTGCTAAGCCTAAACTTTTATTTTTTCTTCCCCCTACCCTTATCGTTTTTCAAAAATTCAAAAAAGTAAAAAACTATTTATTCTCCGTCAGCATAACTGATTTCCTCGGCCGCTTCGCCGATGATGGGCAGACTGGATTGTTGGATGAGATCGTTTGAGTTTAGGCTTCGAAAGGTGGAAAGCGGCCTTGGGTTGGGGCTTTCCAGTCGAAGGCGGTCACTTATGTCACTGTAGGTGTCACTGGCCTGGCAAAAGATCAAAAAATTATTTGATAAAAACTAGAAAATTTTTTTTTAGATTTTGCGAAATAATGTTTTTGCCTCTAGGTACCATGTAGAACATTTTCAAAATTGGCTCTGGAGGAGAGGTAGGTCCACTACAATTTTATTTCAACTTACAAGATCATGATCGGCCAAAGTTGTTGGACTTTCTGATAACAATGGTGTTTGAGACTTTCTTTGATCGGTTGTTGACATAAAGTTGTGAGAACAGTTTTTAATACCTAAAATGATGAAAGATAGCAAAAGGTGATGTTTACAATACTCCATGATACCTTAGCTACAAGGTAGTGTTACCCTTTCTCAGTCTATCTTAGTGTACGTCACCTTAATTTCTTCTACCGTACCCTAAATTACCTTGGTATAACATACATAACCTACCGTACCCTACCTTACCGCACCCTACCCAACCGTACCCTATCTTACCCTACTTTACCGTACCCAACTTCACCCTACCCTACTATACCCGACTATACCGTTCCCTACCCTACCCAACTCTATCCAACTTCACCATACCCTATCCCCACAATACCGTACCTTTTTGTCCTTTCTTAGGTGCCCTGGCTACGAAGAACAAGTAACTGACACCCAGTATCAGAGCTGTGGCAAAGAAAATGAATAGAACGGCCACGGCAATAATTAACCAGTCGTATTTGATCGTAGTATGAGGTACAATGGTTACTGTAGTGTTAAAGTAGATGGGTTCAAAAGGCGCGTCCCAGACTGGCAATTGAATGTGAATTTGTTCTACTGTAACATTATATTTTTAGCTTTGACCTTCAAAATTTAAAAATTTTTCGAAATTTAAAAATTTTTTTGAAAATTCAAATTTTTATTAAACTTGAAAAAAAAATTTTTTTCAAAACAAACGCCAAAACATAACATACCCGGCAGTTTACCGGGCTTTTCAAATTCACCACACTGAGCTGGCGTTATAGCCCGAACACCTTCTGGATGCAAATAGAAGTCATCCTTATCATTCAACGTCCAATCCAAATAGTCTTTTGTAGGTGTCAAGGATACTGTATTTTCACCGTAAAATGTCAGCAGTAAATCTGAAATACAATTTTGATCAAGATATACCAGTTTTTTTACTGAAAAGACATTTTTTAGCAAAATTCCTACTATAATATAGCTTTTTATTAACTTTAACCGTGCCCTACCCAAAACCAGCTCTAGTTTTACCATCCCCTATAACTTAGGCTAAGGTAAAGTGAAGCAGAGCAAGGTAGGGTAAGTTAGAGTAGAATAGGAAAAAGTAAGTTAGGGTAGTGTAAGGTAAGTTAGATTAAAGTAAGGGAGAATAAGATAGAGTAGAGTAGGGAAGAGTAAGGTATGGTAAGATAGGGTTAGGTAGGGTAAAGTAAGAAAGAGTAAGAATGGGTAGATTAGGGTAGGGTAGAGTTAGGTACGTAAAAACGAAGCTACCCAGCACTCGCAGTAATTTTTTGGGTCGTTTTACACAGAGGCAAATGTTATGTAAAACCATAATATTACATAAGAAAAAGTTGCGCAACAACATTTCTTGTAATTTCTCTAAGGCTATCTTATTGTATCATTATATTACATAACTCCGCAAAATGTTTTTTAAAAAGCTGTAATATTGCAAAAAAGCATCGTTTTTGAATAATGAATGAAATGTTTCAAAAGATCAGCCTTACAATTAGACTTTGTGGATTTAGGCTAGGAGGTAAAAGGGTAATGGAGAAATAATTAAGGAAGAGGAGGGGAAAGGAAGAGGAGGAGTGAAACGGAAAAAGAAGGGAGAGAGCAGATTACAGGAAAGTGTAAAAGAAAGATAAATACACCCTACTTCTTTCTATCTTACCTTATCCAAACTTACGTTACTTTACCTTATAGTAGCCTGTCATACCGTCCCGTTGCACCGTGTTTCACACTACTCTGCCCTACAGTAACCACTATACCGAGTTCATACTTTACCTACTTTACCCTACCTTAACCCACACTAATGAATTCTACCCTACTCTACCTTACCCTGCTGTACCAAACCCTTTCATATCCTACCCTACCCATCCTACTTTACCTTACCCCTATACCCAACCCACACGTTACCCTACTTTACTCTACCCTCAAACCCCTATTCAACCGTACCCTACCCCATCTTACCCAAAACTAAGATTGACTTAAACTCAACTTTTCTAGGTTTACCCTACCATTAAACTTTACCCTATTACATCAAATTCACCCCTTTCTTCCCGCACTTACTAGAAACACATCCTTCAAACTTTTGTGTAGTAGCCCGTGTAGCTTTCTCAAGCTCTTCTGGCGTCGCACTGCCCATCCATACCTCTTCCAACTCATTCAAGTCACTGTCAATCTCAAGCTCAGTCACCTGACCATCCACTAGTATCTCGACCGGCCGAAAAGTGTCAAAGTGAAGTTGAATAAAGTGGCGAGTTCCATCCGAAAAGTTGCCTGATATTGTTGTAGCTACAGAGCCATCACTTCTGTAGCCAAACAGTAGAGAGCCATTCTTACAAAGGGTTATTTGAAAGAGACGGTCTTTCTAAAAATGTCATTTTGAAAGCTTAAAAATGTGGAATTTTAAAAAATGTCATAAATGTCATTTTGACATCGAAAAATGTCAAAAAATTTTAAAAAATGTCGGAAGTTTTATCAATTCAAGCAAAATATGTCATATTTAAAAAAATGCCACAAACTGTCATCTTCGCCTCAAAAAATGTCATAATGTTAGAAAAAAATAAAAAAATGTCCCATTGTCATCATAAAATGTCATAAATTTGAAAAAAAACTGACATAAATGCCATTATTTGTCATTTTAAGAAAAAAAAGTCATTTTAAGTCAAAAAACGTCATAAATGTCATTTTTTAAGCATAATGAAGTCAAATGTCATATATTTCAAAAAATGTTATTATAAAGTAAAAAATGTTAACTTGAGATCAAAAAATGTCATAAATTTTAAAAAATGTTTCTTTAAAGCTCAAAAATAGCAAAAATTTCAAAAAATGTCAATTTAGACCAAAAAAACCGTAAATTTTGAAAAATGTCACAAATTTCAAAAAAAAGTTACCTTAAAGCCGAAAATTAAAGTCAAAATGTCATTTTGAAGCTCAAATATGAAGTAATTTTATTAAAAATGTCATTTTTCAATTAAAGTAACATCTAAATGTCATAGATTTCGAAAAAATGTCGCTTTTAAGCCAAAAAATTTCACAAATTTAAGAAATGCCATTTTAAAACCAGAAAATGTCATAAATTTTTAAAACTGCACTTTCGTGCAAAGAAATGTCACGGATTACAAAAAAAATGTCACTTTAAAAAATTAAGTCAAAATGTCATTTTAAAACTCAAATATTATATCACCCGACAAAAAATGTCATTTTTCAATCAAACTAATGTCGAAATGCCACTTTAACCTACCATAAAGCTAAAAGTCATCAGCCGTTGTTCAGCCCTCAGTTTCCTTGCATTTTTGGTATTAAAAGCAAAACTGATCCTCTGTTCCAAACTGTCATCCTTTATGTTACCCATGCCTTTACTGACATCATATCCAAGCGATGTTTGACCATCAAACCTTAGTCCATAGTCTCGAGAACAGTCTTGGCCTAGGAACGAAGTTCTACCACAGTTACAACCAACTTTGGTCAACGATGACCTTAGGGTTTGGTGCCATTCTATAGCACAGAAACCTCCATTCTGACATTTTATTAGGTCACAAGCGTTTGAGCAGCCCATTTGAATTAATTCTAAAATTGGATTTTGTGAAGTTAGAGTAAGGCGGATTTTACTACAAGATGGATATAGTAAGATGAGATTATAGCAAGGCATCGCTGGGTAGAATATGGTAGAGCAAGACAAGTTACGATAAGTTAAGATAAGGTAGAATAGCGTAAAACACGGTAATAATAAGATAAGGTAAAGTAAGGTAAGATATTGCAAGGTAGACTACTGTAAAGTTAAACAGAGTAAGATAGGATAGGAGAGGGTAGGGTAGGGTAGGGTAGTGTAAAGTAGGGTAGGGTAGGGTTGGGTAGAGTAGGGTAGGGTAAAGTAGGGTAGGGTAGGGTAAAATAAACTTCGGGAAAGTAAAATAGGGTGAGGTAGGGTAAGATAGAGTTAGATAAATAGATTACTGTAAAGTGGGTTACGGTAAAGTAGAACAAAATAGAGTAAAGCAAACTGATACTGTAAACTGAAACATGTTATAATAAAACAAATGACAGTTGAGTAAGGTATGATTAGTGCCAGCTATGATAACGCAGAGTGAAAGTGAGTAAGAGTAGGTTACAATACGGTAAGTTAGGTTAAGGTTGAGCCTAATACGTAAGAATACAATAGGCTAAAAAAACAAAGAAGGCTAAAAAGGTAAAATACGATGTCACGACTGTTTCCTGTTAAAGTTTTCATACTAATTTAAAATGAACTCATCCCTACCTCCACCTTCATCTCTACCCCTACTCCTACCACAACCCCTACCTTCTTTTCCCGGTAATAATAATCAAAATTTGAAAAAATTTTTTAAAATTTCATACCAGAATTTTCCTTTTTGAAGCCTCCAATCTTAGTATTCAACTGGTTTTTTCCCTTGTTTTTGTCAGGAAATGCCACTCCTCGAACACATCCCATTAGAGATGGCAGTTGACTGTCATAGTAAGCCCTTCTGACCCCTCTGAATCTTCTTTCTTTTGAGTTTGTCATCCTTGGCACACCACCAATGAATAGGGTTAGGTATCGATGGACAGCTATTATTGGCACTGGCGAATGAGGTAGGTAGATCATATCTGAAATGGCATTTGAATCATGTTTAAAGAAATGTCATTTTTAAACAGTGTTCATAGCGGCGGTAGGGGTAGGCTAAGGAGTAAAACATATTAAAAAATGTCACTTAAAAATGACATTCTCAAAAAAAAATGGCACCTTTTGAAAAAAATGTCATAACTTACTCTCGGTATCCCCAGTAAAATTCAAAATTGGTCGTTGTGACAGTATATGTTGACCTTTGATTTCACAAATGCTACCATCAGCTTCAAAGATGATAGAATCTGGGCGTTGTTTCACTGATAACTGAATCCATCTCATCTTTGAAAAATCTGGAAAATGACATTTTAGGTAACAAAATGTAATCTTTTATAAAAAGTGTCATTTTATGGCAAAAATAGCACTAAATTTCATTTCTTGACAAATTTAAGAAAAAATGTCATTATTGACATATTTACGGGAAATATGTCAATTATGACATTTTAAGTAAAAATACGTCATTTTAAAGCTAAAAGGTCGATGAAATGTCCAACTAGAAGATTTTTAATAAAAGTATGTCATTATTGACATATTCAACCGAAATATGTCAGTTACAACATTTCAGGCCAAAATAAATCATTATTGACATTTTTACCAAAAAATATGTCATTTTAAGCAAAAAATCACAAAAATGTCACTTTTATACATTTTTAGTAAAAATATGTCAATTTCAAACTAAAATGACATTTTTTGCTAAAAATAACAAACTTAATCAAAAAAGCCATTTAATAGTAAAAAAATAAATTATTTAATAAAAATGTCATTTTATGTTCAAAAGATGACATATTTAATAAAAATGTCATTTAATACTTAGAGCGACGAGATATTTTCAAAAAATGTCATCTAAACCCTATCTTACCCTCCAAAACCAAAACCCCACGCCTTACCATTCGAATAACTAGCCATGACCTCACACGACTTGACTTCACTTTCATTTGAAATTGTCAACACAAGACGATATTCACTTTGAAGATGAATCTGAATGAAATTGTCAAACTGATCATGAGCATAGAGCAATAGAGCCTTTCTTTGATCAGTTCGAAATGATAAGACAAGGTTAGAGGTTAGTGGGTTCGAAGGAAGCTCATCATTGACATATTGAAGAAAAGCTGAGTTGGCATCGTGGAAGGAGATCTCTGAGTCCACGTTTATGTCTGGAAAGTATGTCATTTTAGATTTCGAAGTGAAATATAAAAGTATTTTATGGTCGAAGAGAGAGAGTAGATAGGAGTAAAGGTAGAGGTAAGGATAGTGGCAAAGGTAAAAGTTAAACTTGAGGTAGAGGAGAAGGTATGAGTAAAAGTAGGGGTAGAGTTGAAGGTAAAGGTACGAATAAAGGTGGAGATAGGGCCACGAGTAGAACTAGCCTCTCCACATACCATGTATAATCCTACTACACCGTACTGTAGGTCACTCGACTCTACCATACCGCATCCTACCCTACTCAATTATATCCTACCATGCCCCAGTTCACCATATCTTACACTACCCTACCCTATCATATCTTACCCATATTACTCTACCTTATCCTACCCTACCATCATCCAACCTACCATTCCTCACTTTACCCTGCCCTTTGATAACCTAAGATAGTCCACCCGCCCGTTTAACAAAAATGAACTTATTGTCCAATCCTCCCTCAAAAAAATAAAAAAACCATAAAAATGTCCTACCAAATTCACATCTCTCCCCATACTGAGTCAATGAGTCTTTACATTCACAATGTCCACTACTATTGACAAAGTCTTCTACACATTTCATTTGTTCAGGACAAGTAGTGTTCTCGCATGAATTTACACATCCGTATTTTACACCGCCTAAAAAATTTTTTTTATTAATTTTTCATTAAACTTTTGCTAAAAGTTGTTACCTAAAATACTTTTTTCATGACCGGCCTAGTCTAAATTATTCTAGTTCAGTCTGGTACAACCCGCAAAAAAAATTTTTAACTTAAGTCTACTTTTCTAGCCCGCCCGAGGACCGGGCTCTACGCACATTTTCATTTCCTCAGGGCCGGTCCGGCCCGTGAAGAAAATTTTAAGCGTGGCCTGGCCCGTAAAAAAAACTTTTTGGTCCCAAGCCTACTTTTCAAGTCCAGAATGCGAGTAATCCACCCCCTCTCAAAAAAAAATTCTTACCCCCCCCCTTTAAAAAACGTCTATTGCAACGTCCCTGCCCCTTATCGAATCCACTCACCAGTTTCAAACCCAGGAGCCTCCAGCTGTTGATTGATCATAACATTCCTCACACAGCCAACAATGCCACTACCTTTATACCCTCCAACGTATACTGCCATACTTAACGCGATAAAGTCTTTAGCTAGCTGATATTCATTATATTCATCGACAGCCAGTCTGACCTCTTCTTTCACCACCTCCACCACGACTCGATGCCATTTCAGATCGTTCAGCTTTAGTGGTGCTTCTAGCACCATACTCACATTGGTGGCACTTTTAGTACCTTTGTAGTACTCAAACTTTACTTTATGACCGTTTTGAAGAGATATTGTAAAGTTACCATGCCTATCATCGTAGCCACTTATCAGCTTTTCGATATTGTACATGGCTGTTCTAAACTCGAGTTGTAGGTATCGAACGTTCTCTCGGTAGCCGATCTCAACATAAGCGTTCTTTGACGTGAATGTGAATGAAAACGTTGAGGAATGTCCTCTATGGCCTGAACATACTAAGGGTCCTAGGTTGAAAAGTCCTTGACCATAAGTAGGGTGTATTGTCTTACTGTAGATCTTTGAAATTCCTGCCTTTTCGTTTAGAAATCGACCGGTGTCTTTTGAGTTTAGGGTTATGTTGTCACAGTAGCAGGTTTCTGAAGAAAAATTGCTTTACGGTAACTTATTGTATCCTACCCTACGCTACTCTAACCTACTTTACTTTACCCTACTCTACCCTACCCTACCATGCCATACCCTACCCTACTCTACCCTACTCAACTTTACTCTATCTAACCCTCCTTACTCTACCCCACACAAACCTACTGTAACGTGCCTTATCCAACTTTAACATACCGCACCTTGTCCTGCCATGCCCTATCTTAACTTACTTTACCTTACTTTATTTTACCCTACCTAACCTGCGGTCCTCTGTCGTGTTCTGCCTTACCATACCCTACCCTACAGTACCCAAACAACCCAACTCCCCCCCCTTCCATAATAATCCACTTACTACACAAATTCGCCTTTGAGCAATCACATCCAAAGTACCGCCCTTCGCTGCCCAAACTTCGAATTTGAAAGTCATAGCCAACACTTTCGAACCAAGTAGCATTCTTGTCAAACCTTAATGGAGCTCCAGAACATGAATATGACACTTCTTGAACACAATGGCTACTGATATCCTTTAAGAGCTCCAGTTGTTGATAGGAAAATAAACTGAAAATAAAAAAAATTATAAAATGATCCACCCTATCTTAAAAAATTACCACGCCCAAACAAATTTTCCCCACCCCTTCAAATTCCAAAAAAAAATACCATGTCCAAAAAAATCACCCTTCCCAAAAAATTACCATGCCCATAAAAATCATATTTCCAATCCTTACCCCAGCGCTTAAAAACATTACCCATGCCCAAAAAAATTTACCCCTGCCAACCCCTCAAAAAAAATTCCATGCCCAAAAACGATCAACTTCCCCCCCATACAAAAAAAATTACCACGCACAAAAAATTTCCCCACCCCCTTTGATTTCAAAAAATTGCCATGCCCAAAAAAAATTTACCCCTCCCCACCCCTACCAAAAAAAAATCCATCCCCAAAAATTTTACCACACCCTCAAAAAATTACCCATGGCCACAAAAGAACCCACAGCTTAAATCCAAAAAACGCCCCCAAACACCAGAAATTCCTAAAAAACCGTACCTATACATAACCGGAAAGTACTTGCTGCCCTTATCCTCAGCCGACCTTATCACAACGTCTTTTGGCACGTTCGTCTCCACTATTGTCTCCCCCTTTTCCGTGCAATTTACAAAAGTTGCTGGCATTACACCAGCCCCGTCCAGGTCGATTTCCATCACCCCTGCCGTTTTGTTATTCATATCTATCGCTTCGTGACAGGTTCGGGGGAAGAGGGCTGGAATAATAGTACTTTAATTTTAGCTTTTTAATTTATAAGACAGGGAATAAAAGAAAAGCAGAGAGAAACGTGGGAGTAAGGTAAGGCAAAAGTAAAGCAAGGGTAAAAGTAAAGGTAGAGATAGCGCAAAAGGTAGATTTCCTAAAAAAAAGGTAGAAGTAAGGGTAGAAATAATAATACAAGTAGGACAGAAGTAGCAATAAATAAGTGTAGAGGGACAGATAGATTTTCTAATGAAGGGTAGAGGTATGCGTAGGAATAGAGGTAGAGATAAGTATAATAGTAAGAGTACAGTTAGGAATAAGAGCAAGAGTAGAGATAAGAATAAAGGTAGGGGTACATCTTCTAATAAAGGGTAGAAATAGATTTAAAGATAGGAGTTAGAGTAGGAGCCGAGATAGGAGTAGAGATAAGACTAAGGGTAAGGAAAAGTAAGAGAGTAAGGAAGAAGACACTAGAAGTAGAAGTAAAGGTAATACTAAATGTAGACATAAAGAACGGGCCAAGCCTGAGTGTTAGGCCGGGACGGATCTAAATTTTGCTTAAACCCGGTCGGACTCCAATTTTTTTACTTGCAAACGGGCCGGACTTTTCGGGCCGGTCTTTAATTTTCAGGCCCGGCACAATTGAAATTTGGGTCAAAACCGGCCGTTGCTCATTTCTAACTAAGGCTATATAAGATTAGGCGTAAAAGTAAAAGTAAGAAGGTGAGAGAAAAAAGCTAGGAGTAAAAGCAGGGGTAAAGGTATAGCTAGATATAAGAGTAGGAGTAAGCCTATGAGCAAAGATAAGGGTAAAAGTAAGAGAGTAAAAGATGAGGTTAAGAATAGAAGTAGGGTTGAGAGTAAGAATTGATGTACAGGTAGAACTTAGACTATAAAAGTAAGAGTAAAAGTAAAAATTTAAATTTTAAAAAAATTTCTTTTCTAAGTAAACCACTTACAAAACTGGCAATAAGTCCCGCCATAGCCATATTTGCAGATGCAATTGAACGTAGCTTTGTCTGAATTTCTTTTGCAATTCTCAGCGTTGACACACTGGCTTTTCTCGTGAGCTGTGCATAGCTGTCTCAGCCTTTTGTTGGTCTTTTCTTCAATATTCTTTATCTTATCCATGATTTCGGCCGCTGATATGTTACTAGCTTGCTGGAAAGTAAGTAAATCAATCAACCGTAACACAAAGCCAAAGTTACAGTAAGACAATCCTAAAGGTACCGTAAGAAAATCGTAAAGCTACAGTAAGACAACAATCCTAAAGCTACAGTAAGAGAATCCTACAGCTACATTAAGACAATCCTACAACTACAGTAAGACAATCCTAAAGATACAGTAAGACAATCCTAATGCTACAGTAAAACAAAGCTAAAGATAGCCAACACTTTCGAACCATGTAGCATCCTACAACTACAGTAAGAAAATCTTAAAGCTACAGCAAGACACCTCTACAAATACAGTAACCCAAACCCCTCAAAAACCCTACCAAAAGCTTAGTAAGCTTGTCCATGTAACTCGAATCCTCAAAAGTGCCATTGCCGTCACTTATTGTATCCTCCATGTCATCCAACCCATCTATCGTGATACTGCCTTCACTGTACAACGCTTCCGAAGTCCCATAGTCACCAATGCTCAGATGAACTTGTAGTACTTCAAAGTCGAGCACCGAATTTACATTAACAGTACCAGTTGCACCATCAATTGTAAACGCATTTGACGTCAGATTCCATAGAAATGTCATTTCATTGTCGGTTCCGTCGATTGAGACTGAAATTTTTGAATTTTAAATTTGGGAGGGGGGGGGGAGGAGGGGGAGGAATAGGAAGGGAAGAGGGGTAAATGGAGGAGAACAGGTAAATCCACCCCCTTAACACCAAAAAAATTGAGACCCCCCCCCAAAAAATTTCTAGAAAAGCCCCTGCTTACCCCAACTCCTACCAGTAGACATACCCTACCCAAGCCCCTAGCCGTATCATGACCCCTACCCCTGTCCCCCTTCTCCACTACCATTATCACTACCCAAAGCCCCACCTCTACATCTACCCCTGCCCCCCCTACCCCCACTACCACTATCCGTACTGAAAGCCCCACATCTACTCCTAACCTTACTCTATTCCTACCTCTTTTCTCCCTATAGTCTGTAGCCATAGCTACAGTAACCACCCCTATATAGCTACTTTTACCTACAGTAACTCTCGGCATAATGCCATTCTTTATGATATACCATGTCATTACAAACACTGTAAATCAAAGATCTGTCTCATCGCGTATTTTACTCAATTTTAAAACAAAAATAGCAAAAGATAGCCTAACTTACTTGTATCTTTAGATTCATATTGCACTAGAGGTCGTTCTTTGGCATCAATTATTCGGAGACCCAGATGCTCATCTTGTACTTGAATTGTGCCCTGAAACTTGAGAATATTTAAAATTCTTCACAAAAAAAACAAAAAAAATTCAAAAATCAAAAAGTTTGTTACCTAAATTTGAAAAAATATCACTTTTTTTACCTAAAACACAAAAACGTCATTTTTAGAGTCTAAACTAATTTTTATTACCTAAAATATAAAACGAAGTAACTTTGTTGTTTAAAATCTACAAATTTATAAAATTGTTACCTAAACTCTAAAAATATGTGACTTTGTTACCTAAAATTCCAAAAAACTGCTATTTGTTACCTAAAGTTTAAGAAAAGATTATTTTTGATACCTAAAATTATTAAAAACACCATTTTTGTTAGCTAAAATCACATTCATTACCTAAAATATAAAAATATGTGATTTTGTTACCTAAAATTACAAAAAAATTATTTCTTTTACCTAAACTTTGAAAAATATTACGTGCGTTACCTAAAAACACAAAAAGGTTATTTTTGTCATTTAAAACTTAAAGATACATTTTTAATATCCAAAACATCAAAAAATATAACACTTATTACCTAAAATATACGAAAAACCACTTTTAAATCTAAAAATCAAGACAAAAATCGAAAAAACTTCAAAATTGATCTGAAAAGTGTCAAAAATTCCTTGTAAATCAAAGTATAAACCTTTAAATAACATTTTCCATAGAATTTTCTGAAAATAAATCCCCATTATCAGTTAAAAAGGTAATGTTAAAACAAGGATTAGGATTTTTCGACGTATTTTTTGATATTTCCTTGACATTTAACTCTTCTCTGCGTCCCACAACGAAAAATTGTTGGCGGCCTTTTGGTGAAATAAAACTTTTGGTTCTCATTTCTGTGGGTCTGTTGGGCTTCATAGAATAAATATTTTTGATTTTTTTATTTTTGTGTAATAAAAATTTTTTTTTGAAATTTTGGGCATAAATGGATTGTTGTTGTATTTTAGGTAACAAAAATTATTTTTTAAAAAAGTTTTACGTCTATTCATTCTTTTTGTGTTTTAGGTTACAAAAGTTCATTTTTTAATATTTTAGATAACAAAATATTTTTTTTTATGTTTTAGGTAATAAATATGACTTTTCAAGTGATTTAAGTACCTTTTTTCGTACAAGACTTTGTTCTTTCAGTATTTTAGCTATCAAAAGTTGATTTTTCTTTAATTTTAGGTAACAATGACTTACAACGAACACGTTTCGCAGCACATCATCAGGTGATCGGGCTAATATGGTTAAGATTCTACCGGTTCTACTCGTCGTCATGAACGACACATTTACACGTAAAAATGGTGAGGCTGTAAGTTTTTAAATTTATTTTTTTTACTTACCTCTACCCATCACCCCTTACCCTGAACCCTTTACCCTCTGCTCCCTACCCTCTACCTCTTACCCTTCACCCCCCCCCTACCCTGTACCCCCTACCCATTCCCTTATCCGCCACTTCTGCCCTTACTTCTTCCCTGTCCATACTGCACAGCAATGGCTACAGTAATCCTCACTATATAGCTATTCTTACCCACAGTAACTCTCAATTTACCACAGTAATCCCCAACTTACTACTGATATTCCACAACATGGGAGAGAGTTCGAATATGTTTTCTTCTTTAGTCAGAGCAAATTTGATAGTTTCAGCCATAAAATAGGATATGTTACTTATGTACAGGATAGTTATTGCTGTTGGGGCCCATAGCCGCATCACGCGGTCGACTAGTCTAATTTACGTGACCAGTTTGCTACGAAATCTAAAAAAATTAAAAATTTCAAAAAATAATTTTTAAAATGAAATTTTTTTGTCGCGAGATTACAAATTTTTCGAAAAATAGAAAAAAATTGATGCAAAAAGAATGGCGCGGTATGTTTTTTGAATTTTTTTAAAACTTCTTTAGGCTTGGTGGGTAAAGTAGAATAAAGTAGCGAAGAGTAAGAAAGACCAGAGCTGTATAAGGGTAATGTAAGGTAGTGGAGGGTAGAGTAAGATAAATCAGGATAGTGGTGGATACAGTAGGGTAGTGGAGGATAGAGTAATGTTGGGTAGGGCAGTGTAGGGGTAGAGTTGGTCTTTTTACTTCACCCCCTCCCCTGATTTTTTTACCCTGCGCTACTGTTTATCTGCCCGAACTAGCTTTTCACCCTAGCCCAACATTTTTTACCGTTACCCCTACTTTATTTTCCCTACCCTGAACCTAGACGTAAAAAGAGGCCTACTAGGCTTGGCCCGGCCGTTTTTCAGGTCTACCTGAACCTTTCTCTCCTTCCTACTTTACCGTACCCTACACTACTCTATCTTACACCACCGTACATTACCCTACCCTATCCTACCCCACCCTACCTTACTCTACCCTACCCCATCCTATCCTACCCTGCGCTACACTACAATACCCTACCCTACTCTACCCTACCATACCCTACCTTACCCTATTCTACCCCACCCTACCTTACTCTACCTTACCTTTATTCTACTCTAACCTACACTACATTACCCTATCATACCCTACAACTTGGCTTAACAAAAAAAATAAACACCCCAAAGACCGAGTAATGTAATAACATGATAAATAATAAAGAACAACAATATATCATAGTATAACACAATATAATTGTAAATAAAAGTAAGAGTCTTTAAAAATAACTTTCTTTTTCGAAAGTACAATCCTCTTTAAATTGTTTAGTAAACAGTCAAATTATGCGCAATTTTCGCGCAATAAAGAATAATTTGAGGAAGGGGGTGGGGGAGTCAATTATCGCTTTTTAAAGAATACTGGGTTTAAACGCGCGATATAACGGATGGAAGCGAACAAGGGGGGGGGGATTAAAATTGAACGGATATTGGTGCCAAATGACATTTTTTAAAATTTTTAGCGTTTCATCGTATAACTTGTCATCAACCGGTTGCACCAGGCTTAGCTTCGGCTTTTTATGTAAAAAATGGCAAGAACTTTATTTACAAAACAAGAAATTGTAAAAACTTTCTTTACAAAACAAAAAATGGCAAGAACTTTCTTTACAAAACAAAAAATTGTCTTTGTATCCTTCGTATAATTTGTCATCTGCAGGCTGCGAAAACCAAAGATTTTACATAAAAATACACAATCGTTAGTTAGGGCAGGGCAAGCCCAAGGGTAGGACACGGCTAGGGCTAAAGCAAAGCTAATACAAGCCTACCAAACGACCAGGGCTATGACAGGGTTAGGTCAGAGCTAGGACAGTTCTATGGCTAGGCTCAAAACCAAGATAATAAAAAACAAAAATTTAGTAACAAAGCTAATGTAATGGTTGTTATAAGTAGTAAAATTGCTTTCCCAAATGTGTCTTTTTATCTGTTTTTTATTCCACGTCTCCACCGTCCTACCCCTTAGGGACATATTTGGCCGTTAAGTAGGAAAATAACAACATCAGACAATGGCAATGATATAAAGTATTATAAGATAGTATATAGTAAGGTAGGCGCACATGGCAATTTTCTAAACCACATGTTTTTTGAAAAATTTTTTAAAATGAAAAAAAAATTTGAAATTTCGAAAAAAATTGAAATTTCAAACTTCGAAAAGCCAGAAGATAATAAATCGTGGTGGTCAAACGAATAAAACCCCCACAGATCTTTTGAGATAATTTTATTCAGGACGTTAATTGCCCCCGTTCCTTTCATAAAGCAATGGCCACCACAAAGTGGCCGTTTGAATTAATTTCGATACGGCTGGTACGAACAGAAATGTTTTTTAATTACAATACAAAGGGTTTTGTGTTGGACTACCGTTTTTAAACTTAGCCTTGCCTTGCCTAGCCCTGCTCTAGTTCTGCCCTAGTCTTGCTATAACTTTTCCCAAGCTCTTCCCTAGTCCTACTCTAGCTCTTCCCAAGCCCTACCTTCCCTTGTCATTGCCATGCTCTAGTCATGCTCTTGCCCTGTCTTAGCCCTTGCTTTAGCCCTGCCTTAGCCCTTGCCTTGCCTTTCTCTACCCTAGGGCTAATTCTAGTCTTAGTACTGTCTTAGCCTGTACTTTAACTAAGCCTAGCCGTGTCTTAGTCTTAATCCTAGCCTTGATCAAGCCCTGTCCAAGCTTTTCTAAAGCCCTGGCCAAGGCCTGCCTATGCCCTTCCTTAGCCCTAGCTCTAGTTCCACCCTTAAGCCTAGCTCTTCTAGCTTTGTCTTTAACCTTTTTCTACATCTACCGTCAGCCATACTTTGCCCTGTCCCTTGTTCTACGCTAGCATTCCTTCTAGCACTGCTCCCCCCCCCCTCCTCCGCCTCTTCCCCTCAAAAAGTCCACCCTTTCATAACCTTTAATCATGCAAAACAACATTTTGACCCACCAAGCTAAACCAACCCCAACGATAGTAAAAAGTTTTTTCCCACTTTCTTAGTTACACTGTTTTCCAGAGCCAGTTTATGTTTTTCCCATTCCAAATACTAATTAGGTAAAAGCGAGCGAATTAGTAATGTTATGCCCACCTTTTGCTTAGAACAGTTCATAACAACAAAAAGAATTTTAAAAATGTTTTGTTTGAGTCACGCGTTCCTCAGAGGAGGACGCTGTTTGGCTTCTGAATTTGTTGTCTTTTTGAAAAAATTTTAAAAATTTAGTTTTTAGGTGTTTAAAAAGTCTTGTCGCTAATTTACATTAACTTTTTTTTAGTTTTTTTTTAAATATTTAAAATTAAAAAAAAACTTTTTGGGTGTTTAAAAAGTCTTGTTGTCTATTTACATAGACTTTTATTGGAAAAAAACGACAAAACTTTTTTTTTATTATTCTATACCTAAATTAAAAAAAATAAAAAATGTCAAAAAAAATTTTACAATACCCTTTCCCCCTCCCCCCCCACTAAAAAAATTATCCCCCTCCCCTCTTTTTCAAAAATTACCCCTCCCCAAAAAAAAATGGTACCCCTCCCCAAAAAAATGATGACGCTTTCCTCTTTAAAAAAATTATTCCCCCGCCCCCTCCTTCTCTTCAAAAAAATTACCCCTCCCGAACCAACCAGTTTTTCTGTCTTCTAACCACAGCTTCTCTGAAAAGCTCTAAAATGGGGAAAAAAATTAATAAAATTTGAATCCGGCTTCGAATTGGCGGCAAAATAAAAACGGCTTTCAAAATTATATCGCCTATTATATTAGCGTAGTAAAAACGGTTTATTTTTCTATAATTGAGGTTATTATTTATCGGCATAGATGGCTTTACAAGCCTTGGAATGAAGCTAAAAAAAATCCTTTCCCTACCCAATTCTACCCTATTCTGCACTATCTCATCCTGCCTTACCCTACCTTACTCTACCCTACTTTACCTTACCCTACTTTATCCTACTTTTCCTTGCCCTACCCTACTCTATCTTACCCTAAAGACTTGAAAAGAAGCCTGGCTCAGTCTAGTAAAGGCCCTTTTAGGTATACTAACAACAATACTGAGACTTTCATAAAACAGTAAAAATAGTTTTCTAGTCAAGAATATGCAAATTTGTGCGACAATTCAGCTCGGAATTAATCGACAGTCTTTTGTAAGTGCCTCAAGGACGAAACGATTAACTTATGAACATAAAGGAAGAGGATATTTGATGACAAAGTAGATCATTTTACATTTTGGATTATATTCTACTATAGTAACTACTCGCCTTGTCCTACTCTACCCTACACTACCCTATCATACCCTACCCCACCTTACCCTACCCTACCTTGCCCTACCCTACAATACCCTACCCTACTTTACTTTTTCCTTGCTTTAGCCTGCCCTACCCTACCCTACAATACCCTACTTTTTACTTGCCTTAGCCTTTCCCTGCCCTAGCCTTATCTCTAGCCCTGGTCTAGCCCCAGCAGTATCTGAGCCCTAGTCCTGACCATACTCTACCCTTCACGCTACCCCACTCATTACTTTGTTCCCTCCCCCTTTTCTTTATTTTACTTCACCCATCACCCTACTCTTTATCTTACCAAGCCCCTAATAACAACACAACCCATTAGTTAGACTAACAATGTGATGACATAACACCATGGTTAATATAATCTTGAAGCTCGTGAGTTTTATGCTTAATTAACGTAATTGAAACCACAACGTTTCGAAAACAAGTTTAAAAAAACTCGAAAAATGTCAGAAAGTAAAAGTAATCGGAAGAGCGATGGTCGATCGGACAAACATGGACATAGTGGAGGTCATTATTATTTGAACTTGGACTTAAGTTTTGATTCGCAAATAGAAATGGCGAGAAATTGGGAGGTGGGGGGGGTATAAGGTTTGGTTATGACTTGATAAACAATTATTATTAAAATTTAAAAACAAATTTTAAACTTAAAAAATTTCAAATAAGTTTAAAAAATTTTAAAAAAATTTTAGAAAATTTCAAAAAAAAAGTTTTAAAATTTCAAAAAAAAATTCAAAAATTTAAAAAATTTCAAAAAAAATTTTTTAAAATTTAAAAAAAAAGTCATAAATTTAATAAAAATTTTAAAACTTTCAAAAAAAGATTCAGAAATTCAATAAAAATTTTTAAAAAAATTAAAAAATTCAATAAAAATTTAAAAAATTTAAAATTTTGAAATTTAAAAACTTGAATGTAAATTTTAGGTAATATTTTTAAAATTTCCCACAAGCAGTAGTACTCCCAAGCTTCAAAACTGTTTTATTTCTATTCACAATAAAGAGAAGT